ACTGGTGGAGGCTGATGTTGCCACCTGTCTCCTAGGGATTGACAACCCTGTGTTTGCTCCTGACGAGGACCAGGGCGTCCTCTCGAGGGTGCCTCCTTGGCTCTCTCCCGGAGAGACAGTGATGCCCTCCCAGAGGGCCCGTGCACAGGTGCCCTGCTCACCTGACCACTTCCACCGCTTGGCGCCCATCCGCCTCAGCACCAAGTCCACGGACTCATTCCTGCTGCAGGACCACCATGAAGATCCCCCACCAGCCCGCCCTCCGGAGACCACACACATGTAACTGCACCTGCTGTCACTTGTTCACTCTCTCCTCTCCTCAGGACTCTGTCATCTGCTTCTTCTGCACTCCTGCCGCCAGGACGCTCTCACTTCCTTCCATTTTCTCCTCTCCAGGACGCCCTCACCTACCTCTGCTCTCTCCTCAGGTCCCAGGACACCCTCACCTCCCTCTGCTCCCTTCTTTCTCCTTCTCTCCAGGATGCCCTCACCTCTCTCCTCCCCAGGACACCATCACGTCCCAGAACTGTCTCCTCTTCAGGACGCCCTTGTTTCCGTCTGCTCTCTGCTCTCCTCTCCAGGACACCTTCTCCTTCCTCTGCTCTCTTCTCCCCAGGATGCCCTCACCTCCCTCTTCTCTCCTCCACGCCAGGATGTCCTGGCCTCCCTCCTCTCTCCTCTCCAGGATGCCCTCACTACCCTCTGCTCCTTGGCTCCCTCCAGGGCACCTCTATCCCTCTGTCTGTATCCCATCTATGCCCATAACCCCTATGCCCACTCTCTATGCCTGCACCCCCTCTGTGCCCGCACCCCTCTCTGCCCATACCCCTTGCTTGCTTGCTAGCTCCTTCCTGCCATGCCTTCCATGTTTCTAGGGGCACTGAGGAGTGGGCACTAGTTCTTGGCTTGGTTCTGGGGCCTAGAATCATGGGGATGCAGTGTCCAGGCAGTTAGGGGAGCTTCCTGTGGGACTGTTGGGGACCCCTGAGTGAGACCCTGAAGCTCCTGGGGGCAGGGGGAAGGAGCACAGGCCAGACTGCAGGCTTCTTCCTGAGTATATGCTAGCCTCGTGCCCCCTGCAGTTCTGCCTGTTCAGCTGCTTGAGTGCAGGTGCAGGAAGGAAGGCCCCTGTCCTTGGACACTGATCCACACAGCAGAGCGGCTGCCTCCGGGCTGCGTGGGGAGGTGGCTCCTGGCTGTAGGGAACTAATGGTTCGCAGTGCCCGCAGCCAAGGCCGGGCAGTGGCCAGCTTCGGGAGGCAGTGGCGGATCCCCACGCAGCAGAACCCAGCCTGGCTAGCGGGCTCGAGGAGAGGCCGGGAGTAAGCCAGGGAGGTGGAGTTTGGGGCTCTGGGGGCTCGGGGCTCACGTTCGCATCTCCCCCAGGTGACACGGGCTCCGATGCGCCGCTGACCGGACGCTCGTCCCCAAGCGAGGAGCCCCAGCGCCCTGATCAGCCCCAGCTGGCCGCTCGGCTCCCACGCCCGCGCGCCCCGCCCACCGCGCCGCCGGCCCCGCCCACCGCGCCGCCGACCCCGCCCCCTCCGGCGCTCGCCCTGCCCACCGCGCCGCGGGACCGAGAGCCGGGGGCGGGACCGGAGCGCCGAGGGCTGCCGGGCGCGCATGCGCGGTCTGCGGCGGCGCGCCGCGTGCACAGCCGACGCTCGTTCCAGCGGCCGCGCGCGCGCCGCCCTGCGCTGCTCAAGCTCGCGTCGCTGCAGCCGTCGTGCCACACGCCCCCGCACTCGCTGGAGCAGGAGGAGACGCCGCTGTGACTCCACCCCTCCGTGGCCTCGATCTGGGAGACTCCCCTTCGTGGTCCTGTCCCCGCGAGGTGTATGCTCACTCGTGCCGAGGGCCGCCCTGGGCACTCACCCAGGAGTGGAGAGGCTAGGACTGGGATGGACAGAGTCTGGGGAGCGGCGAGTGGCCTCCCAAGCGTCCTAGGCCGCTCGGAGCTGCAGGCCCTGACTCAGTCGCCCGAAGGACCCGTGGCCGGTGTTTCAGTTTTCGCTGCTGTGTCCCTTCTCATCCGCGCTGCCAGTGGAGCCGAGGCCAAAAGGAAACGGGGCTTGCCCAGTGTGCCTCCCGTTCCAAAAGTCCAAGCCCGTAGCGCCCTCACCCTTCCGCCCACCTGTTGAGGGCTGATTCCAGGTCCTCCCGTGACCCAGGCGCTACTTCCGGCCCTCTTTACCAGTTCCATGAAATACTGTTAGCCCACTGTTAGGGGCGCAGGCACATACACTTCCACTCTAGTGTCCAAACATCTAGATCCTGCGCTCAACTCTGCGCGGACCTTAGCGAGGTAGCTCTGGGCACTGGACAGCCTGAGCTGTCCCGCCTGGAGGGTGGCTGAACCCGTCAGGCCTGGTCCAGGCTGCACTGGCCTCAGGCGCACTCAGAGCTCACAGTGAGGTGGGACTCAAACAGCTCCAATAAGCTGCAACAGGGGCCGGCCGTGGTATGGAAGGATTTCTAACTAACTTGCAGGATTTCTGAGCCGCCGAAGGATGTAGCATCCTGCCCCCCCCACCCCCTCCCGCTCCTTACCAGGGTCTCAGACCTTTTGGAGAGGCCTTTTATCCTGTTATTCTTGGGAAGTACACTGGGGTAGGGAGTACCCCCAGCTGCGCTTGCTCTCTGACTCAGGCTCTTTGTGTGAGGTGCAAGAAAGGATTCAGGGACAATGCAGCTACCAGATCCTCTAGTGCTACTGGCTCATGAGAGGACTTGCAGGTTTCCTGGATCCTTGAGGGGGCAGTTTAAAGTGCTGTAATGGGTTCCAGTCTTCTCCCAGCAGCCTGAGGGGCTGCTAGATCAGCCTTCAGCTACAGGGGAACCCACGAATTCCAAGGCACCATAGTCACCAACTACCACTGTAGCATCTGGCCATGTGGCCTGGCAGTCATGGGATACAGGATTCTGCATGGAGTTCCAGGCCTGTGGCCCAGTCTTTAGGGCAACTCTCAGCTGTCTGAATCGCCCAGTCCAGTTTTTGCAAGCAGCTTAGGGGCATTCTGAGGATCCACAGACACAAGCTTTCCATAGGTGGGACCACAAAAGCTGTTCCAGAAGAGCTGTTCCCAGGCCAGTCAAGAGGACTGATGCACCCTGGTCCTGTGAACACGTCACTCAGAATCTTCGCTGTTCTTTCATGATTGTCCAACAGAATGTAGTCTTGTGAATGTATTTCCTTAGGGAAACTTGTGAAATGTTTTCTTGGGAAGAATTCCTATTTATTTAATACTGAACTCTGGCCTGTTTTGTGGTAGATTGGAAAGTACACACATTTAGGAATATTTCTCACTTCTTTATTTTCTTGAAAGTAACTATAATAGTGCACACTGTGTACGATTGATCTATCATGAAAGATTTAAGAATTTCATTGATACTGGAATTGAAATGCATTTTATCAGTAGTGAAAATTGTGTGTTTCTTTTTGTAAATGTAATCTCAATCATGTTTGTGTAACTGAATCAGAACATGCCTTAAAGTGTACCTGGGGCCTGCTGGCAGTGGCTGGGCAGGGAACATCAGACTCCAGCCAGACTGCTTGATCGAGTCCATTAAAAATGTTTCAAGGCATTATGGGTACAAACTCTGTGTCCCAATGGCTCTGCTAGTGAGACAATGTGTCTGATAATACAGGGCCCGGCCCTGGCAGAGGCAGCCCTTGCCTCCTGACATTCCCATATACAATGTACACTTTCTTAGGAAGGAGTGCAGCACCCCATAGGCTTGAAGATAAGATGGAGCATCTGGCACCAGTGTTCCAAGGGGGTGGAACCTGAGCTTAGGCAGAGGCCAGAGCTGGAACCTCTACCTGTCCCCACACTTCCTGATGGAACCCCATGCGTATGCACCCCGCCGTCATCCCCAGCAGGGCCCATCTGAGGTTTCAGCATCATCTTTTGAGCAGCATGATTTCAGATGTTTATTATAAAAGGCAATCCACACAGGTAGAGCCCACAGATGCTGTATGGAGGCACTGAGCCGCTGGTGCTGTGACAGCTTACAGCTGTCCCAACATGACACCTGCCCTGGGCCATGGAGGCTAAAGAGGCAGCTCACTGTGGCCCAGACCTGTGGATGGTTGCCAGAGGCCTGAGAGCCACCTACCCAGGTTAGACATCCCCTTCATGCCCATTGCTTGTTGCATCCAGGAACCCAGTAGCACATTCACGCTCCACCAGCCTTGAGGACCATCATGTGAAGCCCTCCTCCACTCTCCCCCAGGCCATGGTAAGCAGCTGCTCCAGACCTCCTCTGGAGACAAGGCCCCCATTTCAGGGCCCTTTCTTAAACACAAGGAGATCAGATGCAAAATGGCATCTCCTCCACGAAGTGAGACAAGAGCCAAAACCCTTTCCTGACTCCTGGAACCTATAGGAGAACAAATAGGCTCTTTAACCCCACGTTCTCTCTCCTTGTTTTTTTCTCTGCTTGCTTATTTCCACCCTGGAGAAGTGTGTGTTCATTCTTGAGCATGTACTTCTCACTTACTTCTCCCTCACATCTATGCTTCAATAAAAACTACCTTACTTCACAAAAAACAAATTCCGCCCCCCCCCCCCCCCCCACACACACACACACAAAACAGAGAGAGCAAGAAAGCACAAGCATGGGCATTTTCCAACTTGGAAGATATTCTTTCACCAACTGGCAGTTTGGGGGACTTCCAGGGAAACTATCCAGGTGTGGGTTTTAGGCTGGGATGATCCTGAGGTGGAAGGATCCAGTCTTGGAGACAGGCACTGGAAGTTCAAGCACACTGACAAGTTCCTATTTGCTTTGAATTATAAAGCATTCTCCCCAGTGAATGGTCACTGGAAACAGTCTGGGGGACAAAATGACAGAGATGGATGGATGTTCAGCCTGCCACCTGTTGGGGAGGGTTTGAGATTGCACTGGCAGGACACTAGTCTCAGACCTGGGTTGCCTCTAGGCTAAAGGCACCCATCAGATTCCCTGCCCACCCCACCCCCACAGCAGTTTTTGCAGCTGCTTCACTTCTCACAGACATGGTGACTCGCTTTTATTACACAGAAGGGTGGGAAAGTGCTCAATCTAGGCCTCCTGGTCCTCCCGCATGGTCCTACCTCACCAAGGAGGTTCTCACGCTTGAGAGTCTTGCAGACGGCACCCAGGACTACAACACCCAGTGTGGCCTGAGTCTTGGCTGGAGCACGACTTAGCAAACAGTGGTGGCATAGGCTACTTGAGGAGCTTGGCCACATTCAGACTGGGGACAGTAATCTCTTTGAAGATGGGCACATAGTTGGGGTTGGGCTGAGCGGAGCCCTGCTCCAGAGTCTCAATGATGGTCTGCTTCATGTCCCTGCTGGCATCCCCTCGCATGGCCAGTAGTGCTCCAATGTGGTCATCCCTAGGGAGACATCAGGACATGGGGGTGTTAGGGAGCCCCTGCTCCAGCTCAACCAACATCCCAGACAGGGTCTCCTCGTATGGCAGGAGAGGACTCAGCTGTCTGTCCCCTCACTGTTGTTCTCTCTGCTCTGGCATTTCTGCCTCTCATCTCTGGTAGCCTGAGGGTGGAACTGGAGAGGGAGGATAGGGGGCCAGCAGCACAGAGAACATTGGGACAATTCAGGGCAACCCTGCAGAAAGCACAGTGGGCACAGACACTTCCAGTGGTTCTGGCTGAGCAAGAAACAGAGGCCACAGAGACCCCCCTGCAACCCCTGCTCAGACATACTCCTTGTCCTCTCTGTGCAGCAGCATCTCACCTAAGCTACCCACCTGTAGCCCCTGGGCTAATTTTCTGGTTGAAGGCACACAGCTAGTGGCCAGAATAGAATGGCCATGACACCACAACTCCCACAACCCTATCATATACTCTCTGGACTATGCTCACAAATGCCATCTCTAAGTGTCTCTCCATGTGATTCACACCTAATGCCCATGATCCCTCATCTTCCCCATAACCTTGAATCTGGCCTTAAAAAGACCCCTGCTACTGGTATACCACTTGCCAATGAAATAAAGTGCTATTACCTAATGTCTGGGTATTTGCTAACCAGTGTTGAGACTTCCAGGTAGAGTAGAGAAGGGTCTGTCAGCTTAATGACCTCAGCAACAGCAATGATAGTGTCACAGTGTCCATCTGTTTCTTCGCCAAGTCCCTAGGAAACAGCAGGTATGGAGGTGACAGGCAACCCTGACACTAGGGATGAGCACAGGTCAGTTCTCCCAGATACCACCTGGCTGGCACTTCCATCTCTGCCTCCTTCACAGGAATACCTAGAGGTCTGTGTCCTCAAGTTGGAGAGTCAGCAAGAAAATGTGTTAGGATGTTAGGGAGGGAGCTCAGATCTCTGACAAATTATGAGAGTCTAAATGTGTGGTCTGAGACTTAGAATGTTTTGAAGGAACCCCGGATTTGAAGGGTTCAAGAGTCTTAGGGGACCCCTGAATTTGAGGGGGTTAAGGGTGTCTGAGGGGAGCCTGGTCTGAGGTGCTAGAGCTTAAGGGGATCCCTGGTCTAAGAGGAACCTAGTCTGAGGGTTTAGAAAGTCTGAGGGGATCCTTGGTCTAAGCGGTTAAATAATTTTAAGAGAGACTAGTCTGAGGGATCATATCACCTGAGGGGGAGCCTGATACGAAGGGAAGGGTACAGAGTCTAACAGAAACCTGATCTGAGGGGTTAGAGTCTAAGGAAATACCTGGTCAGAAGAGAACCTTACGGGCCAGAACGATAGTACAGCAGGCAGAGCGTTTGTCTTGTACATGGCCGACATGGGTTCAATCCCTGATATCCTATATGGTCCCCTAAGCACCGCCAGGAGTAATTCCTGAGTGCAGAGTCAGGAGTAACCCCTAAGCATTGAGCAACACTGGGTGTGAACCAAAAAGCAAAAGAAAAAAAAAAAAGAAGAGAACTTGATCTGAGGGGATCCTTGGTCAGATTGGTTAGACTATGAGTTTATCCCTGGTCTGAAGGGAGCCTGATCTGAGGAGGTTACAGAGTCTAAGGTGATCCTTGGTCTTTGTGGAACCTGGTCTGAAGAGATACCTTGTCTTAGAAGAACTAGATCTGAGGGGATCCTAGGTCTGAGGGATTCAAGTGTGAGAGGATTCCTTGTTTCAGGGAAGCCTGGTCTGAAGGGTTAGAGTTTGAGGAAATTGTTGATCTGAGGCTGACCCGGGTTCGATTCCTCCACCCCTCTCGGAGAGCCAGGCAAGCAACTGAAAGTATCTCGCCCGCACAGCAAAGCCTGGCAAGCTACCCGTGACGTATTCGATATGCCAAACACAGTAACAACAAGTCTCACAATGGAGACGTTACTGGGCCTGCTTGAGCAAATCGGTGAACAACGGGAGGACAGTGCTACAGCGTAGTGCAGTTGATCTGAGGGTTTAGAGGATCTCTACACTGAGAGGGACTCTGAGAGAGCCTCACCTGAGAGAGAGTATGAGGGCAGCTTGGTTTGAGGGTCAGAGTCTGGGAGGATCCCTAATCTGAGGGAACTACTGGTCTGAAGTATTAAAGAGTCTGAGGAGGTCCTTGTGGTCTGAGAGGAATTTGGGTGGAGGGAGGGAAGAGAGGAGAGGGGAATGGGAGAGAGGGGAGAGAGGGGGAGGGAGGGAGGGAGAGAGAGAGAGAGAGAGACAGAGACAGAGAGAGAGAGACAGACAGACAGAGACACAGAGAGAGAGAGAGAGAGAGAGAGAGAGAGAGAGAGAGAGAGAGAGAGAGAGAGAATCACTAGTCTGAGGTAAACAGAAACACTAGTCTGAGGATCACTAGTCTGAGAGAAACTGGTCCGAGGGGGTTATAGATGCTGAGGAGATTCCTGGACTGAGGGGTTAGAAAGTCTGAGAGTTGCCTGGTCTGAGGAGTTAAGAGTCCGAGGGGATTCCTGGTCTCAGGGGTTAGAGACTGAGAGGATCCCTGGTGTCTGGTGAGCTTGATCTGGGGTTTGAGAGCCTATGGGGCTAGAGAGTAAGAGGATCCCTCTGAGAGGACCCCTGGGCTGAGAAAAACCTAAACTGAGGAGATCCCTGGTCTGAGTGGTTAAAATGTGAGAGGATCCTTGATCAGAGGGGAGCCTGGTCTGAGGGGAACCTAGTCTGACAAGAAAGATACCTGGTCCAAGGAGAACCTGATCTGAAGGGATCTCAGGACTGAGGGGTTAAAGTATGAAAGGATCCCTGGTCTGAGGGGATCCATTGCCTGAGGGATTAGAGTCTGAGAGAAAACTGGTCTGAGGGATCAGAGTCTCAGTCTAAGGAGCCAGAGAGGGAGAGGATCCCTAGTCTGCAAACCTGATCTAAGGAATCCCTGGTCTGAGGAGATCCCTGGTCTATAAGATTAGAGTCAGAGAGAATCCCTAGTCTGATTGGAACATGATCTAAGAAAATCCTTGATGTAAGAGGAATCTGATTTGAGGAGTTAAGAGAATCTAAGAAGATCCCTGATCTGAGTGATCTCTGGTCTAAGGGAATGCATCTTCTGAGAAGAGAGTCTTAAGGGGTTACAGAACCTAAGGGAGATTCCTTTTCTGAGGTATTAGAGTCTAAAAGAATCTCTAGTCTGAGGGGAAACTGGTCTGAGAGGATCCCTGGTCTAAGGGGGAACCTGCTCTGTGGGTTTAGAGTCTAACGGGATTCTTTGTCTGAGGGGAGCCTAGTCTTAGGAGTTTGAGAGTTTCAATGCCTCTTTTGCAAACCACAACACCGAAAAGGAGAGAGAGAACAAAAGGGAATGCCCTGCCACAGAGGCAGGGTGGGACAGGGGAGATGGGGGGTGGGAGGGATACTGGAACCCATGGTGGTAGAAAATGGGCACTGGTGGAGGGATGGGTATTTGATCATTGTATAATTGAAATCAAAGCACAAAAATTTGTAAGTCTACAACTGTACCTCATGGTGTTTCACTAATAAAAATTAAAAAAAAAAAAAAGAGTTTGAGAGCCTGAGGGGGTCCCTGGTCTGAGGGGTTACAGTCTGAGTGGATCTCTAGTCTGATGGCAGCCTAATCTGAGGAGTTAAGAGTCTGAGGGGAGCCTGATCTGAGGAGATCTCTGGTCTAATGGGAGTCTGGTCTAAGAGGTTTGAGAGTCTGAGGGGATCTGTGGTCTCTGGTTAGGATGCTGAGGAGCCTGGTCTGAGGGATAAGATTATCTGAGAAGAATCTGGTCTGAGGCATTAGTGTCTGTGGGGATTTCTACTGAGGGTTAGAGAGTCTGAGAAGAGCCTGGTTTGAGGGATTCTGAAGGAACCCAGCAGTGCAGAAGCTCTGGGAAGAGAAGCCTACTTACAAAGAGGGATGTCAGTGGTTCCTTGGTTCCTGATGCTGCTTGGCTGACTTTGAATATTCAAGGGGCTCCCAGGGCTCAGTAACTGGGGCTTACTCACAGAAGACAGCTTCCGGAATAGGAATCGAAGTTGCTCAGCCTCCCGGACCATTCTCTCGGCACCCTCCTTGCGTTCCTCTGCACTCCGGAAGGAGATGCGCTTCTGCATGACAGCCCTCAGGTACTCCACCACCACACGTCTGTGCGCCTCAGCCGTCAGCCTCTGGGGAAAATGCCTGTCACCTCAGCAAAAGGGGGTAGGCTGGCATATCCTTTCCCACCTGCTAGTGAGCACACCAAGCCCATGAGCCTGTGAGAAGCTTGTTTGGGATTGTGTCCTAGAAGCTCTGGCAGCTGCCACAGAATAGCTTCCTGCATACCCACACAGGTGGGAGGGCAACATCAGCTGCAGACCCACAGGCCACTTGCTCTGAGCAGAGTGTGGGTTCAGTGGAGACAGTGGGGCTTTCCCAGGCCAAGGTCCCACAGGACTAAAATCTGTGAGCACACACGTTACACCTTGCACAGATACTGCTGGTTACCAGTAAGTGAAAAGATGCCAGGAACTTCTAAGGAGGCTATGGTTGTGCTTGAGGAGTTCTGGGGAGGTTAACTCTGCACACTGAACAGGAGACCAGAGCACTCAAGGAGATGGGGCCAGGTACCACCCATCTGCAGGCAGGCCAAGATGACCTGCACAGATACCACAGCTACATAAGCTCAGGGAGGTGGGAATCTCGGGCAGGGAGCTGTCTAAAGGCCTAAGGTTAGCTGCCCCAACAACCAGAGGGGGGATGAATGGGGCACTACAAATAAGAGTAAGCAAGAGTGCCCAGAAGTCTGGAACGCGCTAGTTCCAGGAAAGAGGATGCACAGGAAAGCCCCTCTGCTCCAACAGTGCAGAGAGGACCAGCGAGGTCCAGCTACCAGCACCAGGGATAGCCAGTGTGCCCAGGACATCTTTACACAGGGCTCTTGGACACATATGAAATGTTTCAGCAAGAACTCGTGGAAGTAACAAGAAATTCAAACTCAATCTGGCTGGCCCTGTCCAACTGCCAGTATCTTCTACCAGTTGTTCATCGCTGGGGTCTCTCTTACCTTCTTATATGGCTTCTTAATTCTTGCAAAGTCATTGAAGTAGTCCTCCACGGTGACACAGATGATGTCTACAGCATTGGAGCCGAGAAGCCATTTCTTCGTCATCAGCTCATTGAGATGTTGCTGAAACACAAAAAACATCAGTCAGAAACAGTCCCAGGCACAGATGTTGGAAACGTGGCATTACTGCCAACTGCAAGCGGCCTGGAGGTATCCTGGCAGACACTACACCCCTCATATGTGCGACCCTGCGTGCAAGAACTGCAGACACACTGTCATGTGTTTGCCTGCCTAACACCACAAGAGAAAACCGCTCGTCTTGCAAATCCAGAAAATCTGTAGAGAATCCAAAGGTATCATTCCCTCATGAAACTGTTCAAAGGTAGATCTGCAAACTAAAGCTACAGCAGCCCCACACCAAAATGCCCTCCAGATTCAACTCTCATCACAGTGGTGTATAGGTCTCTCTCATGTTTCAGAGCAACTCGTAGGGCTGAGGCTACCTCTGATCTTGGCCAGCCTGCCGACAACAGCTAATGCTTAGCTTTAAGCTGCCACTCTGAGGCATGGCCTTCTGAATTATGCTGAAGACACTGGTATTTCTTCACTGTACAGTGCTTGTTTGTGCCCTTTATCTATATTCTGCCCTGTCTTATAAATGCATACTGTCTCCTTCCCAATTTCCCAGTCTCTCGGAGCTAAGCATTTCCTATCACACATCTTTCCATTTTCTCACATTTCAGGTTTTCCAGGCCTGGCCCACAAGCCTCTGCTTCTGCAGCTCCTAGAGCAGGCCATGTGTATGTTTAGAACAGACTCCACTTGCTCACAGAACACGGCTCTGTGTGACGCCAAGTGCGTCTGGGTGAGGGCTTTGTCTTGGATCTTTGTTCAAAGCAGAGACTGTTCTGTATGTTGCATCTGCTCATGGGCACAAGTCTATGCTTCAATCTGGTACCAAGCATCTGTGGAGATTAGAAGTAATCTTCTCACACATTTGTTTCTTGTTTGTGACCCAATAAGGGGTTTGGCAGTTTCCCTTTCCACCTTTTGAATACCTGATGGTAATAACTAAAGAGTAACCTCTGACATTCAGCATCAGGCACAACCATCATTTATTGGCTGGCGCCTCTCTGGTTGTACAAGCAAAAGGACCACTCAGGACAGCTCGACTCTGAATAGCAGAGCCCTGGTCTCAGCCCAGCTGAGCATGCAGTCATAGATGAACAAGCACTGTGTGCACTAGGAGAGCAGCAGGCAGCCCTCTCTATCCAGAAAGTGAGGGTGTGTATACCTCTAGGTCCAGAAAGACTTCCTCCAGTAGGCTGCTGCAGCCCTCCTGCGCAATGCTGTCTAGAATTCCATCCACACTGGGTTGGCTCAGAGACAGGTCTGGGTCCAAGCTGCTCTTCATGTACTTCCTTTTCAGGCTGACTACAGATTCTCTGCAGAGGACAGTTGTGGATGCATGAAGATGGATCCCCAACCCCCGTACACCCATGCCCACCAGCACTCACTTGAAGGTCTGGCAGTTGTTGATGATGGCAACCATGTAGTGCACATAGCACTGTGGGTGCTGGCGGTTACGTAGGTGATCCTCCTTGTAGAGCTGAGCTTCTTCTTTATACCTATGGACAGACCGTCAGATGTGCAGGTTCAATGCCACACAAATAACACCCACCTGCACACATCAAGCAGATGGAACTTTAAACTAGTTGTTTATAACACGTGACTGAAAATTTCACCAGAATTTAAAATAGTGTGCATTATCTTGATGTGACAGAAATTAGTAACACTGGCACACGCTACACATCCCTCTCTGAAACTGCCTGAAGAAATCAAGTATAATATAAACTGGTTCTCTAGATCAGGAAATACCTGAGCTCACCACAACTCTTCTACATTTCTCCGGCAAGCTCTCATATGCAGGATACAATAGTACACTGTGTTGTATGTACAGAAAATACCTAATTGCCTTTACTCTGAGGCTACACTGGTGATGCTTAAAAGCTGCTCCTAGCTCAGTGCTTGGCTTCACTCCAGCCCAGTGAACTTTCTCCAGTCTGGGAATGGGGGCATGGGGGGTGGGATAGGAGATGCAGGGGGTCACTCAGACAGAGCTTGGGGGGCAACTCCAGCAGTACTCAGCCAGTCAGGCCAGTAGTTCCATATGAGAGTAAGAAAATACTGTAATGCTCTGGCCCTGTAATGCCAGGGGTCACCTGCTACCTGTGCCTCCCCAGCACTACTCAGGGGCTGCAGGGCTATATCTGGAAATCCTTAGGGTCAATTAAAGGTGAAATGGGGGGTTGGGGCGTAGCACAGAGAGAAGGGCATTTGCCTTGCATGGGTCTGATTCCCAGCATTCCACATCGACCCCACGAGCACTGCCAGGAGTAATTCCTGAGTGCAGAGCCAGGAGTTATCCATGTGCATCGCTGGGTGTGACCCAAAAAACAACCAACCAAACAACAACATCAAAACCATAAAAAAAAAAGTAAAATGATTATTTCACTTCTCTGTCCAAAGTCATGTTCAGGTGCTCCAATAGCTGAGACCAAGAAGACTTCCTCTTTGTAGAGGAAGCTCCACCTTATTTCTGAAAAATGACATGCTCAGGTGGGGACTTCCACGGACAGGGGCTAATGACTCAGGCAGGGATCCCCATGATAGGAGAAAGAGGGGTGTTGATGAGAAACCAGGTAGGAGACCCTTAGGTGAGAACTTCCATGGTAACCTATGGAGAGGAAGGGGCAATTCTTTGGACCAGGACTCAAAGCTCTGCCCTCCACAAGCTCTACTAACCCAATGAACATTTTATAATAAAAGCATGTGGTTTGAGTGGTTGGGGACAAAGCTCATGATAAAGCACTAGCTTTATCATGTGGGAACCCCTGGGTTCATTATCAGGACCACACGATCCCCCGGGATCATGTGCTGGAAGTGACTCCTGAATACCAAGCTGGGAGAGGCACTGAGTGTCCAAAAACCAAATGAAAAAGCATGTGGTTGTGTATTTGGGAAACCCAAATGCCAACCTGATGTCAGATGGTTGTCTAGTGGTAAAACCCTGGAATTCACTAGCACTGTTCCCTCTTATCGTGGGAAAGGATTCTGGGTAAGGTTGGTTGATGGTGGTCACTCTTCTCCCTTTCTAGAGTCTGACCTTCCTCTCAGGCATTATTCTTTGGCTTATGATGGACATCTGGTGAAGCTTTGGAGGAGGTGTTCTTTTAATACTGGGCTTGTACAGCTTCTTGCGTACTGGTCTTATGTTAGAATTGGAGTAGGCCAGTGGATAAACCTGGTGTCAGATGAGTTCATGGGTCAATGCCAATTTTCTATGTGGCTGGCAGCACTGTGGTTAGACAATGTATGTAACAGATGCCATATTGTTCAGGACCTGCTTTAGAGGATTTGGGGGCAGGGATGACAGGAGGAGGCAAGCAGAGACTGAGAAAGACAGAGGGACAGCCTTGAATTGAGATACTGGGATTATTTTTTTCCTCTTTTTCTGAGCACGAAGGACATCTTCCACTCTGCATTTGTTTGAAAATATTCATCATAAACAACTCAAGAATCAGAAAGAATCTTCAAAAGCAGCCGTGGGGAAGCTCCACAGAGGCCCCTGTTTCTCTTCCCCAAAGGTTTAGGAAAAGGGCATAAAGGGAAGAAGGTGAGTACCCTCATACTGCTGCATCTGCTATGATTTCCCTCATGTCAGTCCTCTCTGAGGAATAAAAGGGCTTTGTTTATTTGTAAGCTGTCAGATGTATTAGGTTTCACAAAGATTAGCTTTCAGTTTTTAAATGGGTATTTTCGGAACCAGCATTCTGCAAACACACATACCTGCTTAAGAAAGAGCTCATCTGCTGAAGACACAGAACCAGCACCTTTGTCTTCAAGTCCTCGCTAATCTGAGCAGCAACTTGAAGGTTCTGCTCAAACATCTAGAAATGGGAGAACTGGTGAATTATGACCTAACTTCTCTTTATATAAAACTTCATCTGGAAGTGATAGAATACTACACATTAAAAGAAGTGAAATATATGCCCTCCTCCCAGGAAAACACGGGTCCCCTCCTCCCTGCACTGCAATGGGCTCCACAGTGGAGGCTGAAGGTACTCAGAGCACTATGGGACACTCCTCTGTTCCTGCAATGAGTCTCCAAGGCAGGGACTGCAAATTTTTCCAGGGCTGGTATTCAAGCTGCTTCTGCCAGTGCCTCAATTGCCCTCTCTAAAGGGTTTATGTGTAGTGTGCTGAGAAGAGTAAGGAGACAGCTATACATCCAAGCTGGAGACAACGTTCTCCTATGTCCTGAGCACAGGGCACCTACCATGATGTCACCTTAAAAGAAAAAGGTGAGGGCCAAACCATGCTTCCCCAGCGGTATTTCAGGGAACCCCCCACCTGCATTCACTCCTGCCCAGCTCGAGGCTGCCACAGATCTTCCAACATGTCTTAGCCTCCAACTATAAGTAAAATGAGGCCAGAAAAGAAAGGAACTAGGACTTATTCTCTTCTCAAACCCAATCAGATCACACTCGACTAGGAAAAGGATGGGGCACCTGTGACGAAAAGCTGAACACATACACCACTGGTATGAGGAAACTCACTTAAAGCATCACATACAACTAAATAGGTGCCAGTTCCAAAGAAAAAGGTCAGAAAAACAAAAATGGCTTTGGGCAAAGCTGCTTGGCAAGCAAGGCCAATTTTCCTGGCATCAGAGAAAAAGAATGTCTTTAACCCACGTCAGGTACAAGGGTTTGTCAGAGATGCCACAGACTGTCATCCAGCTGGGATGACCCCAGGGAGGGTGGGCACCTGGAACACAATGGCAGGGAGCGTGGTCTGATAGTAGCCATCCTGGTCAGCTTCTGGTTCCGTCTCTCGTAACCAATCTTTCTTGTCAGTTTCCAGTGCTTTCCGCAGCCAGGCAATGATATTGGACTAAGGAAAAGAACATCACAGAAAAGAAAGGCAAGGGCCAGAGAGAGAGGACAGGTGTTAAGGCACTTGCCTTTCATGCTGTCAGTCCTGGCTCAATCCCTGACACTACCAGGAGTGACCCCAGAGCACAAAACCAAAAGTAAGCTCTGAGAAGCATGGGTGTACCCAACCCTCCCCCTTGACACACACACCAAGAAAAAGAAAAGCACAGAACATTCAAGGGAATAGTGTGTCTGCAGAGCATGGCCCTCAGCCTCCTGGACTGAAATCTTGAAGCACCAAGCCAGGTAAGTCAGAAACACAGAACAAGACATGCCCACTCTGGCATACCACCCTTCTCCCTCCCAAATGGCAAACAGTCTGAGACCCAGGGTCCAGAATAGCATGAGGACCCCAATTCCGTACCCTTCAGGAGCAAGAGCAGTCTTCTGCCCTGCCCACCAGCACCAGACAGCCCCGATCACGATGGGCCTGTGCACTCACGGTGAGGGTTGACATGTAGGTGTCGAGCAGTTCTGAGACCATGTGTGGAGAGAGAAGAGAGTCCAGGCTGCTGGCATCCACCTCTGGGGCCAGCTCCACGTTCCCCATCATCTCTGCACTACAGCGAGAAGCAGGAGTGAGAATCACTGCAAGGGAAACAAAACACTGTGGCAAAAGGCTCTACCCAAGATGGGGGAGCTACGGAGACATCCGCATATCCCCCACTGGGGATAACACTGGGTGCCAAAGGCTCCACCAGCAAAGACTGAGTGTGAGGGTAGGGTCCTGTCCACCATTGAGAATGACCAAGTATGAGAGCGGAATCCTATTCAACACCAACGATGACTAAATACGAGGGAGGGATCCTGTCCACCACTGGGAAAGACTGAGCAAGAGGGTGTGATTCTGTCCATTACAGAGAATGACTGTGCATGTGGGGGGATCCTGTCCAACAATGAGCCTCCCATGTAGCAAAACGCACACACTGGATGGGACCAGCACTAGCAAGTGACATATATACTTTGCAGTAGTAGTAGCAATACAGGTAGTCTGGATCACTCTGACACTGCAAGACTGAAGGGGTCTTGCATGGGTCACACTTTGGAGGAGGCAGGACATGGACCAGGCTTCAGACAACATGGTTTTCTGGGACGGGGAAGATGTCCAGGAGGCTGGAGGTATCAAGACCCAAGGATTCCAATGAACCCTGGAGACCTGGGAAACCATCTGCCCAAGGACCGATACTGAGCAAACACAGGAACGAACTGCTCACTGAGAAAAAGTCAGAGCCTCCCTAGTAAAAAGCACTTCAGGGAACCCTACGGGTCAGATTCTTACTGAACTTGGGTCATTTCTGCCCACAAGAATCTGACTTTAGAGTATAAATATTTCTAGAATGAAAGTGGACGGACACTTGCAGAAGAAAGGCTGCAAGACAGGTGAGGGGACAACAGGAAGCTCTCAGGCACCCCAGACCAGAAAATGCTCTGGGTAGCAAGACACAGCAAAGTCCAGCCTCACAAATGACCCTGCTCCCCTGCTGCTGGATGTGAGGGCGTGGGCCCTCCTCCCTGTCTATCCCTTACCTCATGTGACAGGTTTGGTCTAGGAAGTTGGAAAAGGTCGTGCGGTATGGCCACCACAGTGAGGCATGACAGGTATAGGCGAGTGACCATCAGTGTATTTCTTTCCATATTTCCCTGAAGCAGATATACTCTCAACTGATGTGCCATTTCCCCAGACACACAACACAGACAAACACAGACACAGACACACACACATATGTGCACGCGCTATAACCTGATAGCTGAAACACAGGGTCACCTTCTTTAAGCAGCGTTGGGGACTGAACCCTGGTCTCATGCAGCAAATTATGTGCTTTATGACTAAATCATAGCCCCGGCCCAAGTTAAAGAACTTTCACATGCTAACAACAAGCTGAAACATGTATACATACAGCGCTGAATATTACTGTCCCTTTGACAACAGAAAAGGAAAAATGTTTCTTCTACCACTGATCTGATTCCTCTGCCACCCACTGCCTCACTATTCACCCCCACCCTCCAACTCCTACCAGCTGGTGAAATGAAAATGCCTTCAGGTGGACATGCAAAAAGGCCTTCAGCAGGAAGGAGTTGGGCTCAGTCACCTGGAAGGCAGCTCTGGAGCACGAAGCAAGTCACTGCCGAGGAGCATAGGTCTCCTGGAAACACACCTAATGGCACAGCCTAGACGCCAAGGGCGAGGAACCACCAAGTGTTCCCACAGCAGAGCCATGCCTTGCCTCAGAAGACCCAGAACAGACACCAATGCCCATGGTCTGAGCACCAGCCCAGAAAAACAGAGCAGCAGTGCGCAGGAACAATAGTAGAGTGGATAGGGTCCTTGCAACAGACCTGGGTTTGATCCCTGGCACCCCATATGGACCCTCCCCTCCAAGTCCACAAAGAGTATTCTTTTGAGGAGTAGGTTCTGAGAATCCCCATATATGGGCCCAAAACAAAAATAACAAAAGAAAACAGACCAGTGGCTCCCTGGTCAACACCGAGCCCGGGACACCTACCTGGTGTAGGTGTTTAAGACCCACGTCAACAGGCTCACAATCTCATTTGCTTCCAGATCTTCAGATGCAAGCTCCTGCATGCGTGTACTCAGAGCCTGATGGTACATTTGTAGAAGGTGCCTGAAGATCTCGTAATGTGGAGGGAAGCATTGCACCATGAGGTTCTTGGTCACAAGCAGGTCATCTAGGACATATTTCCGAATGATCTCCAGGTGGCGCACAAGCCACATCTTGTCGGACTCCCTGGTGTCAGCTTGCGTGCCCTCAATTCGCGTGGTCACAGTTCTGTCCAGGATGGCAAACATCTTCTCCTTCCAATTCTTGGGCCTCCCAGGAGGAACAAAGCCTGTTTGCTTTTTCCGGTCAAGGATGCGTCTATCAATTTTTTCTTCCCTTTCAATGATCCTGACAACCGAGACCAGGAGGGTGGGATCACGACGGACAGTGACCAATGCTCTCTGCAGCACCATCCATAGCTGTTTGGCCAGCTCATCAGAGAGACCCTGTGTGCTCCCAAAGTAGCTGTGGATGAGGGTCATGTCACGTGTGTTCCCACTGTCCATGCGGTACTGCTCGTACATCAGCCCATCCCGGGAGCACTCTAGGTCCATGAGCTTACGGTGGGCCTGCAGGAGCTCTCCTTGTTCTATGAGGTCCTGGGTCTCCCTCACAATCTCAGGCACTGTAAGAAACCACAGGAGAGGCATGTAGGACCCTTGAGAGATAAGAGGAGGTGTCTCCCCAGGACATGAGCATGCAGGGTGGCTGCCATGATGACCCTGGACTCAGAGGCCTCTGAAGACTGGAGAGCCCCAGAGAGTGAACTGGAGTGAATTTTAGGCAACTGCAGTTCTCCACAGTTCACAGAAACCAGAAGCCAACACAATATAAGCTCAGGTCAGCCTGGAGGAAAGGGAAGGCCCACCACTGCCACACTTGTTTGTTCATTGCAGCACTCTTTACAATAGCCAGAATCTGGAAAAAACCTGAGTGTCCAAGAACAGATGACTGGTTAAAGAAACTTTGGTACATCTACACAATGGAGTACTATGTAGCTGTTAGAAAAGATGAAGTCATGAAATTTACATATAAATGGTACTACATGGAAAGTATCATGCTAAGCGAAATGAGTCAGAAAGAGAGGGACAGACATAAAAAGACTGCATTCATCTGGGGGACATAAAGTAACAAAATAGGAGATTAATACCCAAGAATAGCTGAGATCAGTACCAGGAGGATTATTCCATGGCTTAGAGACCAGCTGGGCATTCTAGGTGAAAGGGCAGTTCAGATAGAGAAGGGAGCACCAAATAAAGGGTGTTTGGAGGATCCTCCCAGGATGGGAGATGCATGTTGAAAGTAGACTATGGACCGAACATGATTGCCACTCAATGCCTCTTTTGCAGACCACAACACCCAAAAGGAGAGAGAGAACAAAAGCGAATGCCCTGCTACAGAGGCAGGGTGGGATGGGGGGGATGGGGATGGGAAGGATACTGGGATCCATGGTGGTGGAAAATGGGCACTGGTGGAGGGATGGGTATTTCATCATTGTATAATCGAAACCCAAGCACAAAAATTTGTAAGTCTACAACTGTACCTCATGGTGTTTCACTAATAAAAATTAGTAAAAAAAAAAAAAGAAAAAAGAAACTCTGATTCAAAAGATATAAACTAAAAATAAAGAGACAGAAAATGAGACTCCAGGCAAATAGTAACCAAACAGATCAGCAGAGTCAACAGTGACATCAGGACTGGAGAGACACTTCCAGAGTTAAGGTAACATGCACCTGCCACCAGCTTGACCCAGCAATACCCATATCTTCCATATCATCCCCCTGAGCCCTGCCAGCTGTACTGTGCACCCCCCCCCCCAAAAAAAAGTGCTGGAAAGAAAACATGGTTATGAGACAAAAGAGGAATTACTATTAGTAAAAGGCTTCATCCAGGAAGCAAATAAACAATTCTAAATATTCACATAAAATGATATATATAAAGCAAAATTTGAGAGTTGAGAAAAATAAAAGCTGGAGACTCCAATATCCTATTCACAGTAATAAGATGGACACAACCAGACAGAAGGGGATTAAGAAACAGAGAACACGGGGACTGGAAAGACAGTATAGTGGGAGGATGCTCGCCTTGCACACAGCTGACCTGTGTTTAATCCCTGGCATCCCATATGGTACCCCGAGCCCCAAAGAAGTGATCTCTTGAGCACAGAGCCAGGAGTAAACTCTGAGCATTGTTGGGAATGTTCCCTAGACCCCCAAACAAACAGAGAACATGAACATGATGACCCAACAAAACCCCAGAGACACTCACACAGAACCCTCCCCTAAATAGTGCCCACTGCTTTCAAGCGCAGGGGTTTAAGCAGGCAAGACTACCAGAGCACAGATAAGTCTCAGCCATCCTGATAAAGGTATCATATAAAGCATCTTCTCTGACCTCATGGAGGAAATAGAAATCATTAACAGATAAAAAAAATTCATGAATGTGCTAGGGCTGAAGTGGGTAGGGCATTTGCCTTGCATGTGGCTGACCAGGGTTCAATCCCTAGCACCTCATTTGGCTCATTGAGCCCACCAGGAGTGATACCTGAGCACAGAGCCAGGATTAGGCCCTGAGCACCACCGGGTTGTGGCTCCAAAACAAACAAAAAATCCCCAAAATTATGAATTATGAAAGTGAAGAAATTAACCAGAAAGTCAAAGAAGAAATTGAAAGAGAAATTAAAAACCGCTTGGGAACTGGAAAGATAGTACAATGGATAGGGCATTTGCCTTGCATATGGTCAACCTGGGTTCAATTCGTGGCATCCTGTATGGTTCCCCAAGCACTACCAGGAGTAATTCTTGAATGCAGAGCTGGGAGTAGCCCCTAAGTACTGCCCGGCATGGCCCCCAAACCAAAAAGCAAACAAAATAAATATCACTTAGAATCAAATGAACACACGACATACCAAAACTTAGGGGACACACAGCAACAGTGCTAAAGGGGAAATTTTAGCTATTCACACACACACACACACACACGAACAAGCTCAAATCAACATTACACACACAAATACAAATACAAATACACACACACACACACACATATGAATGAGCTCAAGTCAACATTACAATTTAAGGAACTGGAACCAGAAGAGCAACTCAGACCAAACACAGCAGAAGGAAGGGGGAAAAAAAATCTAGGCACAGATTAGCAAACAGAAAACACGAAAATCAGAGAAAATGACCAAAACCAGGAGATCTTTGAAAAGATCAACAATGGACAAATAGTAGCTTGATGCATAAGAAAAAAGTCTCAAATAGTGAAATCAGAAATAAAAAGTGAAACCGTCACAGTCAATTCTATAGAAATAAAAGAATTATAAGAGCACTGTATGGACAATAGTAGATGACTAGGTGAAATGGCCAATTCTTAGAGACAAGGTTCACTAGACTGTCTCTTGTCACTGTAACTGGGAAGGGGTGGAGAGGACAGGGAAGCAAAGCTTCTGTTCTGACAGATGGAGAGTTCTGGAGATGGCCAGAGGCACTGTAGCAGAGTATCAAAGGACTGGATAGCAGTGGCTGTTAAGACAGCAGAACATATAGGATGCGTATTTTAAAATAAAAAACAAGTGAATGAAATCTACCATGCAGAATTAAGAAAGCAATTCCACTGCCAACTGCATCCAAAGAATCAAATACCAGGACTGAAGAGACAATAGGAGCCTGCCTTGGGGCTGGAGTGATAGTACAGCAGGTAGGGCGTTTGCCTTGCATGCAGCCAACCCGGGTTCGATTCCTAGCATCCCATATGGTCCCCTCAGCACCGCCAGAAGTAATTCCTGAGTACAGAGCCAGGAGTAGCCCCTGTGCATCGCTGGGTGTGACCCAAAAAGAAAAAAAAAAGAGCCTGCCTTGCACGAACTAGGTTCAATCCCCAGCACCACTTAGGATCCACTGAGCAATACCAGGAGTGAACCTGACCAGAACTACGAATAAGTCCCAGGTACTGCAGGGTATGGCCCTAACTCCTCCTTCCCCCAACCAGGGGCAAAATAAAAAATCCAAAGAATCAAATACCTACAAATAAATTTAACAAAGAATGTGAAAGATATATATGTAACAAAAACGATAAGACAGAGTTAACAAAAAGAAACAGACATTAAGAAACGGAGATATATAATGAACATGGAAGAAAATTATAATAGTAAAAGTCTCCATTGTGTCAAAGAAATATACACATTCACGGCAATCTCAATCCAAATTCCAATGACATATTTTAAGAAAATAGAAGGAAAATACTAGGTCTATGAAGGACTATATAAGATCTCAAATTGCTATGGCAATCCTGAGGAAGCAAAAGGAAAATGGAAGAATCGTGTTCCCTGACTTCAAGTTTATGACAAAATGACAACAATTAAAATTGTGTAGTATGAAAGTAAAGACACTTGGACCAATGGGATAGAACCAAAAAAACCCCCAGAAGTAAATGCACAAATTTACCAATACTAGAGTTATAACAAAGAATCTACAACCATTTTTTAAATGAACAGTGCCAGAAATGTGGGGCAGGCCTGTGTAAATGGGCAAAGCTAAACTCCTCTAAGTCAATCTACAGAAATAAATTAAAGGGATGGACCTGGAAGTAAAACCCAGAACTGTAGTGTACATGAGAAAACACAGTGAGACGTCCCATGTACCAGCATTAGAGACATTTGAAGGAACTCACCCCAGCAGGAAGCAAAGGGAAGACAGATTAACACTGAATCAAAAAGCCTGTATCCAGCCAAAGAAACTAAAAACAGACAGAAAAGAATCTCCTGGGTGGGAGGAGATACTTTTCTGCACACCACACATCTGATGAGAGGCTAATATCCATGGCCTATAAAGAGCTACAATTCAGTCGCAGGAGAGAAACTCCCCAGGAACAAAGAGTCATAAGGGGCCAGAGTGACAGTACAGAGGGTAGGGCGCTTGCCTTACACAGAGGCAATCCAGATTCAATCCCCATATGGTGCCCAGAGCACCGCCCAGAGGATCCTGAATGCAGAGACAGGAGTAATCCTAACATCACCAAGAGAGGGGAAAAAAAAAAAAGAAGAAAAAATAAAAGAAAAATAGGCAGAAGGTCCAAATAGACACGTCTCCAGAGAGGACACACAGGTGACCGAGACATATGGGAAAGTGTCCATTGTCTGTTATTTCTGGGTAAATGCAAACTGAGACCATCCTGCACTCCTACCCCATGCCATAGACATTGCTTGGGCATGGCTCTCACTCGAGTGAATGGCAAGGACAGTAGCGTTGGTGAGAACATGGAAAGGAGATCAGGGTGCTATAGGGATGGGACTGGAACCACCGCTGGAAAACACTCAGGAGTTTCCTCAAGAAGCTGACAATAGAGCCACCCAGAATCTGCCAATCCCACTCCTGGGAACGCCTGTGAGAGTGATAAAAGCATTTACAAGAAAGTCAGTCCACTTTTTGCATCTAGTAATCTGGGACATGTAAATGTCCGTCAGTACCTGACTAGGTGGAATGTGGTTCAATATAAACAAGATAAAATTCTGGTATATGAAACAAAATTAAAGGTGGAGTCAGAGCAGTAGTAGAGTGGGTAGGGTGCCTGCCTTGCACGCAGCCAACTCAGGTTTGATCCCCAGCATTCCATAGTGGTCCCCAAAACTCATCAGGAGTGATTTATGAGTGCAGAGCCAGGAGTAAACCCTAAGCATTGCTAGGTATGGCTCCCAAACGAAAACAAAACAAAACAAGAAATGGACGGTACTTAAGGGCATTAAGTAAACTAAGTCAGAAGGGGAAACATAAGTACTGAATATTTCACCTACGTGTGTACAAAGTAAGGCTGCAAAACAGGAGAGCAGACAAAAACACAGGACACCAAGAAAAGAACTAAGGTTACCTGAGGAGAAGGGGTGGGGCAATCTGGGGATATCTGGCAGTAGCCTCAGAGATGGGAAGAAAGTGCTGCCAGCGAAGAAGCAGCTGTGAGGGAGGGAAATCAACCACAGAGGTACTGGCTGAATCTACCGAAGAACCCAATTTCAGGAAGTCTCATCACCCTGTAGTTGTTTCCTTTTACCCCTTGTTGAAGTGCTTGCCACTCAGAGGGACGATTAGGGACAGGGAAGAGAGCACAAAGAGTGAGGTTGGAAGAGGTAAAAGGAGTGCAGGGGAGGTGAGAAGAGCTGAGTAGGCTCTTGTATCCAAAACCCTGGGTGAAGTCAGCGCACACTCGTACCCTGTACAATGTGGAAAGGGCAGGAACCAGTGTCCAGCCTCAAACATGCAACATGGGAAGAGAAGGCACAAGCCCATGTCAAGGCATCTTGCTGGGAGTGGTTGTCCCTGACAGAGATTCGGGGGTGGGTGGGTGGGGGTAGGAGGGAGAGAAAGGCCTAAGGGGTAAGGACTACCCAGCACAGAGTGGAGCCCAAGCAGGTGGCCTGACATTGCTGGAGAAGCCTGTCCACTCACAGAAACAGAAAGAAAGGCTGCCCCAGGCCCGGCTGCTCAATACCTCTGTCAGGTCTGGCTTGAACCACGACCGAGATCCTAGAGGGTTTTAGGCCACTATGGCCTGTCCATGCTCTCCCTCCATCTGTCCTTCTCTGCGACTGCATCAACCACAAACCATGGTGTTGGTGAGTGACACCGCAGACCTAACACTGGGCAGCTCCTGGAACAGGCAGTCAAGTGCCAAGGTTCCAGTGCAGAATCTCAGTGATGTGTGGGTTCGTGTGTCTGATGTGACCAAGGCTGAGGCCCGCAGCTCTCCTGGTCCCTGTATCCACCATATGTGCACTGAGTGCACAGCAGACACCAGCCCTGCCAATCCTGCCAGGTGGTACCTGCAAAGGGCCCCTCCTTGGCCCTGGGAAGTGCTAGGAGAAAATAGAGGCTCTCAGGGTTCCCCCCAGTTCCAAGCCGTAGTGTGAGTATGCAGATGCTTTCCATGCTCTCACCTGAGAAGATGCTCTTCAGGTTCTCCACAGCAGCAGCAAGTTGGCTGTGCCGTACCACAGCGTCCTTCACGTCCTTGAGGCTCTCAATGGTGTTGATGCTCTGCCTCCAGTCTGTGCTGACATCGGCTAGGGACTGCTGTATGTCCTTGACATCAGTGAGGGCACTGTGCAGCTGGCTCAGGCCTGTGCGCACCCCGTCCAGTTGCGACTGGATAGCAGCCTGGGGCAGGAGCATGTGGTGAGCAGTCAGGACCGGGAGGCCCCCCACCCCTTGCCAGGAGCCCCATCAGAGACAGTTCCAGAGCTGAGCTGAGAAAGGAGACAATCCAGGGCTTCCCCAAATGCACAAAGTGGCTCTCTCTTCTCTACTGCTGGCTGGCAGCGGAACAACAATGCCTTTTCTGTATGTGCAGTGCTTGGGGAGAGAACCCAGGGTCTCGCACATGCACAGCAAATGCTCCCCTGAGCCCCATCCTGCACCTACAACACCTCTCTGAGCTTTCTTGACACTGCTCATGGACTTAAAAGCCGTAGGGTACCACATGATGCCTCAGTCAGGACCAGGCTGCCCCTCCAACGGGAGCACTCAGATACAGGGTCGCTCACTACTAGCCAGCAGCCAGGCTTAGGGTCCCCCCACAATCAGACTCAACTCAAGGGTGGCCAGGTCACTGCATACACTGGGTCCAGCCATGGTGGCATCCACAGGTTTGCCAGCGCAAAGCCATGAAGGAAAGGGTGGGGGGGCATTGGCAAGAGCACCTGGGAGCATATGCCCTCAGGAGTCTCAACGGTTGTCAGTGAAGGTACTACACGGGGCAGAGACCACTCTCAGCATCCGAGTCACTCCTGACAGCCTAAAGGGTTTCCGCACGTTTCTAAGACATAAAAACTCTGCCTAAAACCATTTTGAAGGTGAGGGCCAGGGATGTGGTGCAGAGGCAGAGGCGCTGGGTGGGTGAGAGCCCAGGGCCGCCAAAACCAGAAAAGACCCCAAATCCTCAAATTCAGGATTCGAGGGAACGGCTGGGGCGCTGATGAGGACTGCGGGGACCGGACCGAGGGAGCCCGCGGGGCTCTGCATGGGACCGTGTGGAAAACGGAGGGCTCGTGCGTCCGGGCGGTACCTTGAGTCGCGCCTCCACTGACGCCTTCTTGCGGGCCTCGCGGCGGCGGTACTGCTCCACCTTGTCCAGCTGGTCGGGCCGCTGCAGCATGCCCGCCACCCGCTGCACGGCCGTGCCCACGGCCTCGCGGTCCGTCTCCTTCATGGCGCCCGCGCGGCTCCGCTACAGCAGCGACCGGGAGGTGTGAGCCGAGCCCGGCCGCGGAGAGGGAGGCCCCTCCGCCCCAAACGCTGTCGCACGGACTCGCCCGTCCCGGTGCTCCCCCGCCCTCAGACTCGCCCGTCCCGCTTCCCTCAGCCCTCAGACTCGCCCGTCCCGGTGCGCCCCCGCCCTCAGACTCGCCCGTCCCGGTGCTCCCCCGCCCCTAGACTCGCCCGTCCCGGTGCCCCCGGCCCTCAGACTCGCCCGTCCCGCTTCCCTCGGCCCTCAGACTCGCCCGTCCCGGTGCGCCCCCGCCCTCTGACTCGCACGACCCGCCCACAGCCCCTCACCTCAGCCCCGCCGCGCCGCTCCGCCCAGCGCCCAGACCCGAGGTCAGCGGCCGCGGGCACTTCCGCTTCCGGAGGCGCGGCCGGACTGCGCGCGCGCACACAGCTTGCTCCGCGGGTGCTCGCCGGAAGCTACGTCACGACGGGGCGTGTCCGGCGGGCGATAGCAGGTGGGCGTGTCTCCCCGGATGACGTCAGAGCACACGTTCCCTGGCACAGGGTGACGCCAGGCGGTCCGCTCCGGGAGAGCTCGGCCGTGAGCGGTGCTAATCCCCGCCGGCAGGAGCTCCCAGCAGAGTGCGTACAGGTGAGCGCGCACGCAGGCACAAGCTGTGGCCCGGCCTGTGGCAGCAGCCCAGCTGCGGAGTGTCCGAACCCGCACCGGAAAGCCCGCGGGAAGGGCAGGCGGGCCAGGGTGGCAGGTAGCAGCAGTCCCCAAGAAGAGGTGGAAATGACCCTGGCAGGACGAGCTGGTCACAGGGAGATCTGGAGTGGGAACATGCTCAGTACCAGGCTCAGATACCTGCTCTGCTGAGGAATTCCTGGACCAAGCAGGAAAGAACAGCAGCCCTCTGCAACATTGGACTGTTCAGCTGGGCCCCAAGCCCCAGTACCTCCCACGGCAACCTACGGGACAGATTGCACCCTGGGTGACTTGATCCCTCAGAGGTAGGCAGGAGGAACTACTTATCAGAACTGGACACAGGGCTCATGGGCAGGGACGCTGACCCCTCCTGGTGTTCCCTCCCCCAGTCACAGTCCAGATGTCCTGCTGTATGCATTAAGCTACATATTTCAAATGCAGTAGAGCTACTTCATTTCAATCAAGTAGCCTTTCCAACACTAAAATGAGCAGTAAGATGCCTTTTATTCAACATTTGTATTGCGATTTTAATACAAACCACAGTGGAAACATTTGAGAGCTCTAAGGCACTGAATCATCAGTAGAAAGGGTTGCATTATACAATATCCACTTTAAAATTTAACAGCTTAGTCCAGGGAACCGGCAGCTGCTTCCTTCCAGCAGAAGCTTCAGAAACATGAACTCCTGCTTCTCTTCCCCAGCACAGTCTCACGGCATGTTTGCGTCACATGTTTTTTTTAGCTATAGAGGCAGAAGCTACATACAGAAAAACACCCTGGGGTTTGTCCGGATAATGCACATGGAGGCAAAATTAGCCCATCTCCCTCCGCCTCTTCTCACACAGTGGCAAGGCTGAGTGTGAAATTGGGGTGCTGATGTGGGAAAGGACACACCTCCAGCCCACGTGTGGGAGACTCGAGGGCATGGCACTGTTGTCTGGCTGTAATTTTTACCCTAGATACATGAGGCTGTTGCCCAGCAGGTGCAGCCAGTGCTGAGTACCTGGTGGGGCCAAGGCCCTCAAGGCAGGGGGTACAATGCTCATGGGGCTCATCCCTGCTGCCCTGGCTCAGGTGGGGATCTACTAGTCTCTGGCCCCTAGTGTCCACAGCTGTGTGGTGAAGCGGAGGAGACAAGGGCATCTGCATGGGGGGACCCAAAGCTGGTGGAGCAGAGGTCACATGGTCTGAACACTAGAGAAGAAGGTTCTGGAATTCCACCTTTGTCCTGAGAAGAATGAGTGCTTTGGAGTTGCAGAGGGCAGAGCACACAGAGCATGATGAGGCTGGATCAGGGAAAGACCAGGGCAGGGATAGGCTGGGGTAGATGGAGGTCAGGACAGGCAGAGGCTGGGACAGGTGGTGGCCAGGACATGTGGAGGCGGGGACAGATGGAGACAAGGCAGGGGGAGGCCAAGACAGGTGGAGGCTGGGACAAGAGAGGCTGGAATGGGGTGGGGTGCTGGGAGAGGCCTGGGCAGGGGGAGACCAGGGCAGGGGGAAGCTGGGGCAGGAAGAGGTCAGGGCAGGTGAAGGCTGGGACAGGTGAAGGCTGGGGCAGGGGGGAACCAAGGCAGGGGGAGGTTGGGGAAGGGGGAGGCTAGGGCAGATGGCCCAGGCAGGAGGAGACTGAAGCAGATGGCAGTCTGAGCAGAGAAGGCCAAAGGCCGGGACATGGAGAGGCTGGGACACATGAAGGCTGGGGAAATGGAAACCCCGGCAGGGAGGAGCAGGACAAGGAGAATCCAGGACAGGGAGTGTTCACTGAGACAGAGTTGGGACAGAGTTGGGACAGAGGCAGGCTGGACTAAGGGAAGGCTAGCACAGGGGGAGGCTGAAACAAAGAGAAGCCAGGACAGAGGGAGTCTGGGACAGGTGGAGGCCAGGGCAGGGGGAGGCTTGGGCAGAGGTAGGCCAAGGTATGGGAGGCTGGGAGAAGTGAAGGTCAGGTTGCTGTTCTTTTGCCACTCTAGTAGGGGATGGGAACATTCAGGGATACAACCTGCAGAAGGTGAGCAGAGCAGAGACGGGGCTTAGATAGGACCTTGGGCTCGGGAGAGTTGATATCTCCCCAGGGGACCACAGTCCGTGTCCCCTCCATGGGCTGCCATGGTGACCCAGAAGAGCTGCTCCTGCCCAGCTCCAGGTCTGAGCAAGTGAAAGTTGAACCAAGGGAACAGCACTGATCACAGCACTCCCCGCTGCAGAAGCCAGGCCCACCCTGCTGAGGCTCCCAAGGATCTGCAGTGACCCATGCCCACCCAAGATGCCTCAGCTGGGAGGGCATCCCCACCACCCCAAGCCCAGGCTGGGCCCAGGCCTGTCCCTTTAGCCTCCTGTCTCCTTCCCCACACTGCTTCCTCTGCCCCAGGCCTGATTACTCCTGAGACAAACTGGCCACACGTGGACAGTATGTCTCCCTGTCCCTCTCTCCTGGCCCTGCTCCTCCTCTCTTCTCCAGCTCCAGATTTATAGGCCACAGGAGGCCACGCCCACCCAGAGCCCTCAGAAAACACCACAGAATCTTCAGGAAGGAGTTCAGTGTGCCCTGAGCCAGGCTCTGCTGTGTTGGCCAGGTGTCTGCCTAGTGTGGACATTCTTGGGGGTCCCAGGGTGAGTCTGCTCTGAGTCCCTCAGGCGGTCACTGGCAGCTTCACCCTCCTCCTCCCACTAGCTGGTCCATGTCACGGCCCCCTTGCAGAGAGAAAGTTCTGGGGAGCAGCCCTCAGAGCTGCACATGGAGAATGGCACCTAGGCACACCCACGTGGCTGCAGGCCCTGGGGCCTCCGAGCCACTTGCTGGCGGTGGCAGGAACTCCTTAGGGCAGAAACATGCACCCTGAGACTCTGGGCGGTCGCAGTGTCGCCAAGGCACTCCTGGGGACCCCCTCAGTGCACCCACTCTGGCTGTGAGCAGCCCAGCCCTGCGGGTCCAGGGGCTCCAGCTTGACTACAGGGGCAGCCCCGGGAGCTCTGCAGATGCAGTCAGGGCCAGGGGGACGAGAGCCTTGAACACAGGGCTGGGGGGTTCCATGTACATGCTCCAGGCAGGGGCAATGGGCGGGGACAGCTGGGCCGGGGGGGCTTCCCAGAGTGTGCCGGCAGCCAGGCTCTACTTTCAAGGGCACCCCAGCTGGGAAAGTGACCAGTGGCCCCCCAACTAGATGGCTGCCTCCCAGCCAACCCTGGCTTGGGGGCCCTGAGGAGCTGCTGGCCGTGCCCTCAGCAGCTGTATCCCTCTCCCGCTTGACAGACAGGGATAGTGCCAGGTTGCAGGGGGGCCGGGGGGGTCCTGGCACGGCCCTCACCTTGGTGTCCCTTGAGGGGTAGCCCCCTGCTGGGAGTCGCTGCTGCCCTGGGGGCGGGAACCCGTTCTCTACACCCACTGGGGAGAAGGTGCAGCCAGGCTGTGGCCGGCCCTGGCCCAGGCCCCCGTCCCGCTCAGCTCTGTTCGAACGTCCCACAGAGGCACCTGAACCTGAGGGCTGGCCCAGGGGGTGTGATCTGGGTGGACTCCTGAAAGTGGGGGTTCTGTGGTCGTGGGCGGTGCCTGGGACCCCAGCATAGGGCAGGCAGGGACCACGGGGCACCCCTTGTGTGGAGAAGGGGGCGGCTCTTTCTGGCTCCTGCTTCAGTCTCCCTGGAGTCCAGTCTAGGAGCCTGCCTGGTCCCAGCACTTGGCAGCAGCCGTCGTCCCCAGGGGCCTCCCTGCGCATCCGCGCTCTCGAGCTGGCAGGCCCTGTCCTGCAGGCAAAAGGCTTGTCAGGACGGCCGTGTAGCCCAGCATAGTGGCTGTGACGTGTCACTGCAGCTTCCAGGCTGGGACCACCACAAAGCCTGCCCTGCCCACCCCCGGGAGAGGGACGAAGTTCTGGCAGCTCTTTCTGTGACAGCCTTGCCGCAGGCTGTATGCTTGGGCGGAACACGGTGTTTGGGGGTCTCCCAAGGTGGGACCCTGCAGCCACCCCCAGGCCTGCATGTCCTCCAATCCGGAGCACAATCCTGGACCCATGAGCCTCTAACTCAGAAGCTGAGGGGCTGTGAGCAACCTTAAGCTGCCACAGTTAAGGCACCACTTACCCCGCGACACCCTCTGGGCCAGTGACGAGGCTAGGGCCTCCCCTGAGGCACAGGCAGGGGGTCCTGGCCGGAACCCGGGCCCAGCGTCCAATGTCCATCTGTAGTCCGAACACAGACATACCATTCTCTCCATCGCTCCTTCCTGCAGGGATACGGAGAAGGACAGCTAGTCCTAGGAGTAGCTCCAGGCCCATGGTTGTATTGTACCCCACCAGCCTGCCTGCTGGGCACCCCAGATCCTGACCCAACAACCCCAGATAGTCCTGTCCATGCCCACCAGGGAGCTACTAGAACAAATGTCCCCATATATGAGACCAGAGAAGCCATTGGTACCTGCCAGGGCACCAGGTTCTCTGCGCACCGTGGACTCACAGAGGTTTGTGGAGGTTCTTGACCTGCAGGGAGAACCAGAACCATGTCACATCACATCACAGGCATCAGCTCATGCTGATGCAGGGCATGTTTGCAAGGGGTGTGTGTGTAGGTGCTGGAGCCACACGGGTGCACTCAGGGACCAGGTGTGGTACTGAGGATCAAACCAGGGTTGGCCATGCGCAAGGCAAGCTCCTTGTCTCTGTCCTATCTCACAGATGTAGGATGAACAAACCCGAGAGGCAGGGCTGGACCCTGAGCAGGGTGAGGAGACACCGCGTCCTACACCATACTGAGTAGAGGTTGGACTTTTCTGGGGTCTAGGGAGTCCCTTGCAGGCCATGAAGGACTGTGTGTGCTGGAGAGCACAGACACATCTGCAGAGACAGGAATGAAATACTGCTCCCTCTAGTACTGCTGCTCTGGAAACACTGGCAAGGGAGGCAGCCAGCATTGGGCAGCACATACGCACTCACCTCACATACCAGACATGGCACGTGCTCACCTCACTCAACACATGTGACACACACTCACGTATCATGTGTGACACGTGCTCATCTCATACCACAGTGACAGACTCACCTCACATGTGGCACATGCTCACATACCATGTGTGACACCTAACCTCATATAACACACGTGATACCTCACACAAGCACGACACATTATCACTTAACACATCACACGACACACGCTCACACACATGTGACACCTGCTCACACACCAGATGTGACATACCACATGTGTGACACATACCTCACAATACATGTGTGTGCCTGTGTGCACGGGTACAACAAACATGTGAATTCTCTTTCCTGCATACACACAGACTGCAGCCTGAGCAAGACACTGACACACATGTGCATGCTCAAGCATGAATATGCACACACACAGGTGTGCATGCTCGTGATATGCACTTGCCCACAACACATGCACATCACACATATGCACATTCACACATATCACCCATTCCTAAGGCAGAGATTGTGTGCTTGCCTTGCACATAACTGATGGGGTGTGACCCCATACTGCATAGCCCCCATATCTTAGAGCTTACCTTAAGCCCTTAAAAAGACGATCACTCTTAGTAGATGCTATTTTCATCATTTTCCAAAATAAATAAAATGAGACTGAAAAGTGTTGAATGGAAAACCTGAGGCTCCTGGGTGCTAACGTGAAGTCTAAGCCCATCAACAGGCCCAGTTGAGCTTCCATTCAGGCTTTATTCTCCTTTCCAATATGGCCACACCAGGCCAGGGAGCTCAGAGAAAGACGGTTTCAGAGACAGCAGCAGGGAGAGAGAGCAGTGGTGGCTTCTGGGTGGCTCAGCCCAATCCTTGACCTCTCTCAGACAAGGGACCGTGATGCAGTTTTTTGGGCAGCGTCCAAACTGACCTCACATCATAGCTCTGAATATTCCCTAGCCAGTGTACACCTGTCCCCCAAGTTCCCCGACCTGCTCCACCTGCAAAGTGCCTGCACTTCCACATATGAGCAGTAGGGGGCAGAGCTGCACCAGGGAAGCCCCGTAAGGCCCGCAATGCTGACAGTGCCGATGTCAGTATTAGGGTGCAGGCCCATACTCTATGCTTGGGTCTGGGCAGACAGTGTGCTTGCCTTGCATAAGCCAACCAGTGTAACTCCTCACCGAATGGCCCCTTTAAGGGTCTAGGAATGTTTCTAACACTCCAACACTCACCTTGGCTGGGCCACTGTCCCCGTGGCGCCTCCCTCTGTGCATGTGGGAGCTGCAGCACTGGCTCTCTGGGGCCAGGGCAGCCCCAGCTATGATGATAGTGAAAAAGGTGTGTGTTTGTGGGGAGGGGGGTCTGGGTCAGGTTGGAGAGCATCAGTAGGGGGTCCTCAGTAGTGGTCCTGAATGAATCTCAGAGCCCAAGGGTCCTGGGTTTTTTTTTTTTTTTTTTGCCATAACCTTCACCTGGACGTCAGCAGATGTGGCTGAGCACCACTCACAGAACTGGGAATTGTGAGCAAGTATAGATGACATCCCACTGCCACTCATGAGACCATGAGGCCCTGGTTAACATAGCAGTGGCAGAGAGAGAGAGAGAGAGAGAGAGAGCAGAGCACAGGCAGACCCAGGTAAGGAGGGCCCAAGTGAGCACAGGTAAGGTGGAGCTGGGTGGGTGAGAACGGGTAATGTGGGCACAGGTGAGCACAGATAAGGAAGGCCCAGGTAGGTACAGATAAGGAGGGCCCAGGTGGGCACACATAAGGAAGTCCAGGTGGGCACATGTAAGAGGGCCCAGGTAAACACAGGTAAGGAGGGTCCAGGTGAGCACACATAAGGAGGGCACAGATGAGCACAGGTAAGGAGGAACCAGATGAGCACAGGTACTGTGGACTCAGGTGAGCACAGGAAAGGAAGGCCCAGGTAGTTACAGGTAAGGAGGGCCCAGATGGGCACAGGTAAGGAGTGTCCAAGTAAGCACAATTTAAGGAGAGTCCAAGTGAGCACAGGGGCTCAGGGAGGAGGGGCGTGTGGGAGTGGTTGCTGTGGACCAGCGTCCAACACTCACATGTAGACAAGAACCCCCAGGCTGTACCCACTGGGATCCCATCCTACTGCAGAGGTTTGGGGAAATTTCTGGTAGATAAGGGGGACTGTGAGGGTAACAGGGCCCAACTTTGCCTACAGCAGGAAGCCCAGAGTTTCCAGAAGGCTTTGAAGAGTGTCCAGGCACAGTGTGGGAGTGGGGAGTGAGGTGGGGGTGAGGGGTTTGCCCTGTTGGGCTGGGAGGGGCACCCTGGCTGACTTGGGGGAGACCAGGCTGCTCTGGTGTCAGCCACCCAGGAGCTGGGCTCTGCTCTGCATGGCCAGCTCCTCTAGCCTGGTGGGAACTGGGGGCAGAACCAAATGGGGCTGTGCTCACCTTGTGTCCAGCGCAGCTGTGGGGTCTGCCCGGGGTTTGGCCCGCAGGAAGGCTCCCTTTGCCTTCATTTCAGCCCCAGGAGGCAGAAGAAGGGGCGCTACAAGGCAGAACAGTGACAGCTGCGGGGGCAGAGCTGTCCCTGATGGGGCCTTTCGCTTCTGTCCGAACAGGAACCTCAGCTTCCCTTGAAACTGCATCGTCTGGTGTTAAAGGACAGAAAGAGATGTGTTGATGCGCACTTGCCACCCATCTAAGACCCTGGGGTCCTTGGGGACAAATATAGACAAAGGCTTCTTCCAAGAGATGAGATATGAGCCCATGCCCACCACCTTCCTGGGACACAGAGCTTCACTTCCCTGGTTTCCCAGGGGTGTTCTTGCTCTGTGTAGATGCCTGATTCCACTGAACGGTGGGAGAAAATCCTCTGTGAGGGCTTCCCAGGACCCTACTCCCATTCTGAGTGGCTGTTCTCGCCCATGTTGACCAAAACCTTTTGTTTCTGTAGAGCCCATGGTGGAGTTTCACAGTTTCTGGGGTCCAGGGAGGTGGCTCCGGTGGCAGATTTCTTTTCTGGCAGACCCCCAGCATTGCCAAAAGTGGCCCTCATGGCCCCTGAACACCACTGGAAGTGGCCTCTATAAAATTTTTAAATGATAGCTTTAAGTGGGGGAAAGCTGTTCTGCGGTTGGAATAACTATCCAGTGCCTTTGAGGGTTTTCTTGTCCTAGTGGAAGGACCCTACTCTGTCCCCACACTTTTGAGCCTGCCTCAATCCACCATCTGCCATCTATCATGGCATCATGAATCCATCCATCATGCATCATCCAACCATTCATTATTTTCCATCCATCCATTTGTAATCCATCATTCATCCATCCATCATCAGTCATCCTCTATTTATTATCCATCACCAACAGCCTGGGCTGGAGCGATAGCATAGCGGGTAGGGTGTTTGCCTTGCACGCAGCCAACATGGCCGACCCGAGTTCGATTCCTCCGCCCCTTTCGGAGAGTCCGGCAAGCTACCGAGAGTATTCGATATGCCAGACACAGTAACAACAAAGTCTCCAATGGAGACGTTACTGGGCCCGCTTGAGCAAATCGATGATCAACGGGAGGGCCTTTACCTTTACCTTTACCACCAACAGCCTATCTGTTCATCTGTCCATCATCCACCATGTACCCATCCATCATCAGTCACCTATCATTCATCTATCCAATTACCCACTGTACATCATTCACCATCTGTCCATTTATCCTCAATCCACCATCCATCCATCCATCATCCATTGCATTTCCCACCACCTATTCATCTGCGCAACCATCCATCATTCAAATGGCCTTGTTTTCTGTCCACCTTCACCCTCAGACACATCCTAAGCCCTTACTGAACACCATCAACCAGCTTCATGCTTGAGGTTCTAGCAAACAGCAACACTGGGGTTTTGTTCCTCCCAGGACCCACAATCTGGAAGGGAGACGGGCACTCCTTAGATCTCACGGTGGAGGTGAAGAAGACCTCCAGGACCCATAGTAGAGGAGGATCTGGGGAGGAGCTGCTTGCCCTCAGCGAGGCAAAAGCCAGAGGCCCGCCTAGCAGGTCCTGGGGTCTGGGGAACAGGGCGCCAAGGATCTGCCCATGGATATGGCCCTGGGCATTCTTGAGAGAGCAGGGACTCAGGGGAGACTTGAAGACCAAGCCAGAAGAAAGGGTGCAGGCTGCGACTCTGGTCCTGTGGGCAGCAGGAGTAGGACTGTACTCTTTGCTATGTTTGAGAAGGCCTACTTCCTCTTTCCTCAGCTCTGTCAGTGAGGAAAGCATCAAACAGCAGAGGAAACACTCCTCATGCATTGGCGAAAGAAGAGGTTTGAACCAGAGGTGAGCAGGGTGGTTGCTGCCAGGCCCCAGTGACTCTTCCTCACAGCAACACACTTGAGGGTGCTGGGACTCACCTTCATGGGCCCTTCAGGGAACCCACGTTCCTAACTGAATAAGAGACACATGTACATTGCTGAACTAGGACCCTGCCTTTCCTGCGAATCACACAGCAGTCTGCAGAAGGCTCACGTCCACTCTTGCACACTGACCCTCACACTGCACAGTTGCAAATACCCAGGTAGCATCACCTCCAGCTCTAACCTCCCTGTGTGTCCTGCTGCCCAGCAGATGCAGCCCAGCAGTGCTGGCCACTCACCAGGAAGCCAGAGGTGCTATCCAGCAGGCAGCGCACGCGGCAGACGAAGCAGCGGGTCAGGAAGGCTGAGTACTCAGAGGGTGAGCCTGGGGCCCCTTCCTGGGCCCTGAGTAGCCTGCCCAGCACCGCAGTGTCCTCTTCTGCCATCCAGGGGCAGAGACCAGGGAGAAACGATAAACATAGGTGAACTCACATCATGCCTGTAACAGTAGGTGAGTGACAGGGAGCACACACAGAAAATACAATACACACCTCACAGACAGAATACGCATACCTCACAAGATACACATGCTTCACACATACAGAATACACACACCTCACAACAGGATACACATGCGTCACACACAGAATACACATACCTCACACAAGAGAATATACATTCTTCACACATAAAAAAATACACACACCTTACACATACAAAATACACACACCTCAAAGATACAATACACGTGCCTCACACATACAGAATACATACACCTTACACATACAAAATACACACACCTTGCACACAGAGAATATACTCACCTCACACATACAAAATACACACATCTCAAAGGTACAATACACATGCCTCACATATAGAATACATGTGCCTCAAAAACAAACTATACATGCCTCACACTACAGAATACACACACCTCACAGACAGAATATACACAGAATGCACACACTTCACACATCCAGAATACAAATACCTCAGAGTACACACTCCACACTGAACATAGAATACACAAGCCTTACTTACACAGAATATATATGCTTCACCATAAAGAATACACACACCTCACAGACCATACACGCCTCACACACATAGAATATACATGCCTCACACACAAAATATGGACACCAAAGACATATAGAGTATACGTGCCTTACACAGAATACATATGCCTCACACATAGAATACATATACTTCGGACATATGGAACACACATGCCTTACACAATAGAATACACTGCCTCAGACATCCACATGCCTCAGACTTCCACATGCCTCATATATACAGAATACACACACTTCACACACAAAATACACATGCCTCACACACACTTTCCTTTCTGGACATGCCTTAGGTATATGGAAAGCACGTGCATCACAGAATGCACACACATGCCTCATATGCAGACAATGCACATAATTCATGCATATGGAACATATGGAACATACACGCCCCACCCAGTATACATATGCTACTCCCCACCGACACAAACTGCCTCCCAGAACACACATGCTCCCCCACAGTATACATATGCCACTCTCCACAGACCACCAACTGCCCCCAGAACACACATGCTTCCTCCACATGGAAAAACAGAAAACATAGCCCTCACACACCTGACATGCATACAGAACATACATAACACCCCACATGAAACACACATGGTACCCACACATATACCACACCACAAAGAACTGCATACTGCCCCCCACAGAATGTGTATCCCTCCCTGTGCAGTCCTCCATGTCCCTGCAGAGCACCTCTCTGAAGGGACCAGCTGGGGGCTCCCTTTAGGCCTTCAGGAAGGTGGTTCAGAGTGAGTGTGGACGGATCCCAACCCATCTCAGCTTGTGCACAGGACAGATACCTGCAAGGGCATTTGAGGACTCTTTCTGAGCTATTTCAGATACATGGAATGAGAACAAAGAAATTCCTGGAAGTCAGGGACCAAGAAGGGACCCTGAAAGCTGGCAGCTTCCTGGCAATGGGCACCCACCTGGCTGAGCAGGATGGGCTGCCAGACAGGGGCCACAGCCAACGGCTCTAGGCAGGGGCCCCAGAGAGGGTGGGATGGCTCTGTCTGCAGCAGTGCTGAGCCAGGGCTGCTTTCTCCAGAGGCAGCTGCAACCTGTGCACCCACCTGACTCTGAGGGCAAGGCCTGCCCACAGCCTAGCTGTGGGGGTGCCATAGCCCAGTGCAGCTGCCGGCAGAAGTCCCGGCGGTCGTCCACATGGATGTAATCATAGATGTTCTGGTGCATCACATCTGTCTGAAACATGCAGGAGATCCCCAAACACATCATCAGAGTTAAGTCACACAGGGAAGGCAGGTACCAGGGACATCACCTGCCATGAGCACAGAGCTGAGCAAATGATATATCAGTCCCCACTGAGCCTCAGGCTATGCTCCTGGAGCAAAGTGGAGGCTCTCAGGCCAGGAGACACATGCCCACAGCAGGACTGTGGCCAGGCTGTGCGTTTGTGGTGCCACAGCTGGGCCTGGTGTGTGACCTAACAGTGCCTCTTGGTCAAGTGTCCCTGGAAGAGTACCCCCAGGGAAGCAGGAACTGGTCAGTGGCCCCCAGAGATGACCTCATCCTTCCTGTATCTCCAGACCTGTCACCTCCTTTTTCCATGAGACCACCACCACACCCTCTAGTACACAGTGCTCTCTAGACTTTGATCCTCTGGCCCACCAGACTCTCTAACAAGGGCCGATCCTTGCAGGCAGGGGACCATTGGGGAATTGGGGTTGGTAGAACATGGGGAAGGTCACTCCTCGGGACACACAGCTTGATGGTTCTCTGAATATCACCCACCATCCAGATCGAGAGCCAGAATCCCAGAGCAGAGAAGCACCCGTCACTCTCCCCTAGGAGCAGTTCCATACAGACCCATCCTCACAACTGAGGGTGCCACAGGTCCTGTTATGCCCAGCATCTGCAGGTGACAGCCCTCTCACTCTCACACTGTATGCATATCACACGACGGACAGTCCCTCAGCCTCCTGGAAAACACTCCCAGCAGGGGTCCAGGGCATGGACTAGAGGTGAATGCATGTCCTGTGCCCCAGTGAGAGTGCATGCATATCCGATCTTGCCGACGGGTGTCTTTCCCACACATGTTCACCAAGCTGCCTGACAGGCACCGCTGCAGACAGTTCCACTCCCTTCATGAACTCAGCTTCGAGAGATTGTTCAGTCTTCCCTCCTTGAGTGGACTCTGTCCTAGGTCCTTTGGACCCTGACTGTGAACTTCCACAAATACCAGTCAGCCACCTGCTATTTACTGTATATGGTGGGGACAATGGAAATTCCTTCTCTCCCACGAGGATCCAATTTTCCAGTAAGACCACCAGCCCCCCCACCCCCCGCACAGTGCCTCTTTGCTGTGTCCCCTACTTGTTTGCACTAGTCTGCTTGACACTATACTTATGTCTCAGAGGTCTCTGTGTGATATCTCTGTAATATCTACTGTCTCAACTACTAGATTTACAGCAAGTACTGCTCTTGAATCAAAAGTTCCCTATAACTCTCACCCTGCTCCTTTTCCCTCCCAGGACAGTTCCGGCCATCCTGTCCATTCCAGGAAAGCTAAACCAGATTCCCTGTGAATTTTCACTGGCAAGCCCCAGAGCTTCATATCCCACAAGAGGAGAAGCCACAGGACATTTACTCCACACATACAGTGACTGAAGGGGTGTCTATAGGCAGTCATGTGGCACAACCAGGACCACATAGAGTCACTGGGCACGACCAAGAGTGTGATCGATTTTAACAGGGATGTAAAGGTAAAGGTAAAGGTAAAGGCCCTCCCGTTGATCATCGATTTGCTCGAGCGGGCCCAGTAACGTCTCCATTGGAGACTTTGTTGTTACTGTGTCTGGCATATCGAATACTCTCGGTAGCTTGCCGGGCTCTCCAAGAGGGGCAGAGGAATCGAACTCGGGTCGGCCATGTTGGCCGCTTGTAAGGCGAACGCCCTACCGCTGTGCTATCGCTCCAGGGATGTAGATATTCACTAATGGAAGAAACAAAATTTAGAAACATCATATTTGGGCTAGTGTGTCTGACAGTCCTTAGACTCAGTCTTCCGGAGTCTGATTACTACAAAGTGATGTCAGGACAAACTACTGGGGGAGATGCAAAGAAAGGAGAGAAAATGAATTAGTAAATATCATAAAACAAGTTTGGTTCAAATGAGAACCCATTATCTTAGCTAGACATGAAGCAAAGTGAAAACCGTGGGGGAAATCTCAAAGGAAATATGGTCACAGAGCAGAATAACTGCAGTGAGGACTCTGACGGGGGAACATCAGGGAGCAGAATAAAAGTAATGTGGACTCTAACATTGTGGAGAAGAAAGTAAAAGAAGAGAGGTCTCTAATAGGAAACATTATCATGGAAAAGAGTAATAGCAGGGAGGACTCAGGAAGTGTTATCAGGGAGCAGAAGAACAGTAGTAAGGAATCAAAGAAGACATCATCAAGGGAAGAGTAACAGCTGTGAGGAAAATTCTTCATGGAGCAGATAACACCAGCTAGGACTCTGATGAGAAACACTAGGGAGCATACAAAAAGAGGTGAGGACTCCGATAGGGATGTCATCCCTAAGTAGAGTAACAGCAGTGAGGTTCTGTCAGAAAATAAGACTGGAATAGCACTGTGGACTCTGAGAGGAAAAAATCATAAGGGTACGGGGTAAGGGCAATAACAGGACTGAGGATAAACATCAAGAAGCAAGAGTGAGGGGCTGGAGCAATAGCATAGCGGGTAGGGCATTTGCCTTGCACGTGGCCGATCCGGGTTCGATTTCCAGCATCCCGTAAGGTCCCCTGAGCACCGCCAGGGATGATTCCTGAGTGCAGAACCAGGAGTAATCCCTGTGCATCACCAGGTGTGACCGAAAGAGAAAAAAAAAGAAGCAGAGTGAATGCAGTGAGGATTTTTGTAGAAAATTTTATCACGGAGCAGAGTAAAAGCGGTAGATTGATAGGAAATGTCACAGGACATAGAAAGTGCAATGTGCACTCTAACAAGAAATGTCATAAGGAAGTATAATAGAAACAGTGAAAACATTGACAGAAAACACATTCAAGGAGCATAGCAGTGATAGTGAAGACTCTGATAGGAAATGCCCTCAGGAGCAGAGAATAGCAACAAGAGGACTCTGAAAAGAAAGCTGTTAAAAAATAGAGTGATAGTGAGGATTCTGAAGGAAACATAGTCAGGGAATAGACAAAATGCAGTGAAGAATGTTATAGGAAATATTATGCAAGTGAGTAAAAGCAGTGGGGACACTGACAGGAACTATCAGGAATCACAATAACAGCTGAGAGGATAATCACAAGAATCTTTATTATCCAGAAGAATAGTAGCTAAGAAGACTTTGAAGGAAACATTAAGGAACAGAGCAATAGTAGTGAGGAATCTGACAGAATCCTGGTAGGAAGCATCATCAGGGAACAGAGTAAAGACAATGAGGACTCTAACAGGAAAGTTGTAAAAGAGCAGAGTAATATCGGTCGGGACTGTGATGATAAATATTATGAGGAAGTATAGGAAAAGAAGCAGAAATTCTAACAGCAAACATCATCAAGGAATAAAGTAACAGCAGTGAGAACGCTGATAGAAAATATCACCAGCGAGCAAACTATAGGAAACGTCAGGGATCAGATGAAGCTAGAGAGGTAATGACAAGAATGTCATCAGGGAACAGAGTAAAAGCTTGGAGGAATAAGATAACAAAAGCTGTCACTGGGGGTGGAGAGATAGTACAGCATATAAGGAACTTGTCTTGTACATGACCAACCCAGGTTCGATCCCTGGCATCCCATATAGGCCCCCAAGCACCTTGAGGAGTAGTTCCTGAGTACAGTGTGAGGGGAAACCCCCAAGCATCGCCGGATATATGGTCCAAAAAATAAAACAAAACAAAACAAAAAACTCTCACATAGCAGAGTAGATGATAAATGTCATTATGAAGCAGTGAATAAGCAAAAAGGATTCTAACAGTCAGTGTTGTGATAGAACAGTGTCATAGCAGTGAGGAATCTGAGAGGAAATGTGATCAGAGTAAAAGCAGTGAGATTTATGAAGTAGTCAAGAAGTGGAGTAACTCTAACAAAATGGGAACTCTAACAAGAACCATCATCAGGAAGCAGAGGGAAATAAATGAGGATTCTGACAGAAAATGTCATCAAAGAGCAGAGTAGTACCAATGAGGGCTCTGACAGGAAACTTCATCACAAAGCAGGGTAGAATCAGTGTGGACACATATGGAAATGTCATGAGAGAGCAGAGTAACAACTGTAAAAACTCTGACAGAAAACCTCATCCTGGAGCAGAGCAACTTCTGTGAGAACTCAGAATATTCACAGAGAGCAAGAAAAAATAAAGTGTAGACTCTAACATGTAATGTCATCAGGGACAACATAACAGCAGTTGGTAACTTCATAAGAAACATTATCTGGAAGCAGAGTAACAGAAGTGATGATTGTCAGGAAACATCAGTAAGCAACAGAATAGCAGTAGTGAGAACTCTGGATACATCATCATGGAGCAGAGTAACAGCAATAAGCACTCTTCCAGGAAATGTAGTCTGGGCAGTAGTGACGACTTTGACAAAATGTTTCTTCAGGAAAGTGAGTATGCTTATAGGAAACTATCACAGAACAGAGTAAAACAGTGAGGACACTGATGGAAATGTCATTGTGGAGCAGAGTAACAACTTTAAGTACTCTGATGGAAAACCTTGCCATGGAGCAGAGCAACTGCAGTGAGGATTCAGTAAGAAGGGAGAAGGAGAAAAGGGAGAAGAAGAAAAGCATGGAGGACTCTGACAGGTAATGCCACCAATGCGAGCAAGAGCACACTAGTGAGATTCTGAAGAAAAACGTGGTAATGGGGGCTAGAGAGTATAGCAGTTACTATCTTGCCCATGGTCCATACGGGTTCAATCCCAGGCACCTCATATGATCCCATGAGCACTGCAAGGAGTGATCCCTGAGTGAAATCCAGGAGTAAGGCCTGAGCATGCCAGGTATGCTCCCCACCCCCCCGCCCCCAGAGTCATTAAGCTCTGAGGACACTGACAGATTTGTGGTTTCAGAGCAAAGTAACAACACTGTGGACTTGAAAAAATTGAAGCATAACAAAAGCAATGAATGTTCTGACAGCAAATATCATTAGGGAGCAAAGTACCAGCTGTAATGATTGACAGGAAGTAATGTCAGGAAACAAAACCAAAAAAGTGAGAATTTTGACAGAAACTTCTTCAGTGAACAGAATAACAGCAGTCAAGACACTGATGGGAAATACTATCAAGCAGTAGAATTATCAGTAGTGAGGGCTCTGACAGCAAACATTGTCAAATAACATAACTACATCAAGGAAAACTCTGACAGGATACTCATCATGAAGCAGAGTAACAGCAGTGATTCTGACAGGAAATGTGGTTAGGAAGCAGATTAAAGTAAGTGAGGAGACTTCCAGAGAAACTTCAGGCAGTAGAGAGAAGTGAGGTCTATAACAAAAATGTCATTGGGAAGCAAGGTGAAATAAGTACTGATTCTGACAGAAAATGTCATCACAAAGGGTAGTAAACTATAGTGAGGACTCTGACAGGAAACATCATAAGGTAGCAGAGAGAAAAAATAGAGAGAACTCTGATAAGAAACACACTGAAAGCAGAGCAACGATTGTGAGGACTTGGACAGGAAATGCCAGTGAACAGAGTAGTAGCAGTGAGTTGTCTAACAGGAATCATGTCATGAAACAAGAGTAACAGCAGTAAGGACCCTATCAGGAAATGTTGTCTAGGAGCAGAGTAAGCACAGTGAAGGTGTGACAGGAAATGTGATCAGAGAACAGAGTAATAGCTCAGGAGTATGTCAGGAAAGCCATCAAGGAGCATTGTTACAGCAGTAAAGACTAAAAACAAACAAACAAACAAAAAAAAACCCCAAAAACCCAACATCATCATGGAGCAGAGTAACATCAGTCAGGATTCTGACAGGAAATTTCTTCAGGGAGCAGAATAACAGCAATGAAGATTCTAATAGGTGCCTCACAGAGCAGAGCAGAGCATTTTGGATCTAATATAGATACTTCTGCAGTGGTCACTGATCTTAACACTGAGTGTACTTATACTCCCATCTTCCTTCAAACTATAACACCATCACCCTGGACTCCTTGTCGGATCCTCACATCTTTCTCCTCTGGAGACAGCTGAGAAACTGGACAACTAACAGTACTGTCAGTACACAAAACTGCATCAAAGTTAAGTCACCTGTCATTGTGCCAGACTGAAGAGTCCAACCATTGTGCTCAGGAGGGTTGGAAATGGTTTATTCCCAGCTTTCTGTCAGATACTTTGCACAAGATGATCACAATATAGCTCAAGGCTTTTAAAAAACATTTTCATGAAATTCCTTGCATAAACTAGAGGCACTGCCTGATTTAATGACATTTGGAAACAATTTCCTTATAATAAAAGGCAAACTTTTTATATTTCTAAAGCTTAAGGGGAAATAATCAAGCTCCAAGAAAGCAAGCCAGCTGATTAGCTAGTTCAGAACCAGACATAGGCAGCAGCTGGGAGGGGCAAAGCTGCCTGCATACCAGGAGCCAACCTTGTGCTGAGTGTTATAGCCTGGTGAAAGGCAAGAGATTCTGGGGGCCTGGAGACAAGACAATTTGAAGGGGTTGAGAGTACAGAGAGCAGGCTCAACCACATTGGTTTGGTTTTCTGGGCAAAATCCTTCACATGAGTCCTTCATGAAGCTGGCTGACTCTATGTCCAGCTATCTTGAGACTATTTGGAGAGAGATGCTGTATGGGAAGGTCCCAGGGCTCCAGAGTTGGGTGATATCAGGATAAGGAACTATTTCTCTCATCCAGGTCTTCCTGAGATTAGCTCTCCGATCCAGTACTGGGGATGAGCTCATGTCAGATGATGTTGAGAACCACAGAAGGCCCCTGGTGGAGGAGGCCATCATGAGGCCTCTTGATTTTCCCCAGCACTCTGCACATCCAGGACCATGTTGTTAGTGGGTGGTTTCCTGTTGACCACCTCTAGCCTGGGCATGAGGCTGCCTATTGCCAATGAAAGGATCTCACAGATGCATGCCTGCTGGAGTTCCCCCCCTCTGGCCTGTGGGCCATTGCTCACAGTGTAGCATATCTGAGTGGCCTTTCACCACTGGTCTGTATCACAGTGAAGAACTTACATTCAGTTCACCTCAAGTATTCGTTAAAAAATGCTCATGTCACAGCATGTCTCAGGGTCCTGCTGACACTGGCATCTGCTTCATCTGCTTTGCAAATGCTTTCTGTTCTGCCTCACATGGCCTTCACACTCTGGAGAGGCATCTCCCTGCAGTTCTTGAGGTTCACGATTGAGTTCTCCTCAGATAAGATTTGGGGGCCTTGTAGAAGTGGGATTGCCAGTTCTTAGCTCTCTGAGGAGGGCTCTTCCTTCCTCCCTACACTGGCCCTCATGGGAAAGCTCTCCACTCTTCCTCCCTCAGGCCTTTATCCAGTGGATTCTTAGCTTCCTCTTTCCCATGTTTGGGCTCAAGAATGGTTATCCAGGGTATTTCCACAACCCTGGGTACACAGGGTTTAAGACACAAATGGGTCTATAGATCTGGTGGTGTAGGTTCCCTGGGCTCTTCTGGGTGTCAAGGACCACATACACACATGCTCAATGTACAGGATCCAGTCATCACAGGCATAGGTCACCCTGGACACCATCATGTGACTGAGTCCTAGATATCCTGGTCTGACCACAAAGTCCCAAGTCAGATGAGCCTCAGCTGTGCAGGAAGGCTGCACTCCCACAGTGGCAGACAAATCATGCTTACCTGGTGGAAACCCAGATAGTCCACAATTGTTGCTGATGCATAGAATATCATGCCTTCTGCACTCACAACCAGAGCGAAGCCATCCAGCGACTAGAAGGAACCAAATATGGAGTTAGTACCTAGACATACTGCCAGGACCACCAAATGAGGGGTGTGTGTTCTGCTTCTGGGCCATCTGTGGTCTTTATCTCAGGCAGATTCATACTCACTTTTATTCCCCAGTCCTAGGCATGGGGAAGGCAGGAGTTGTTAGGGTCATAAACCTCGAGGTTAGGTCCTTAACTTCTAAAACAATCATGGCGGGCTGTGACTGCAGAGCCTTTACCTCCCCACCATACCCTCTTCTGTGCTGTCTTGGTCCTCTTATGAGTTTTATCACAGAAAGATGTTGAACTCCACCTAGGGCTATTTCTGGATCTACTGATCAGTGATGGGGTCTCTTTAGTCTATTCTGTCAATCACAACAGGAAGTTTTTATACATGAGTCTATCCTGGCTGAGGGGAAAATTGCTCTACAAGAGACTCGCAAAGCCCAGACATGTGATGGCGGTTTCTGAAGGAGAGAGGGAGATGCACATAGACAGGACCACATCCTGCATCCCCTGTCACCAGGGAAGCACAGATAAGCTTGCTGAGACACCATCTCAGACAGTGAGCAAGAGAGGTCTTACCCACAGGAAGGGGAAGCGTTACAGTCTCTGCACAACTGTTACTTTGCAGGCTGCTGTGCTGTGGTCTTACCCCTTGACTGGGGCACCAACTATTTGGTTGGGAGAGAAGCAGAGCCATCTAGATATCCAGATGATGTTCCGGGGTATCTGAAAGCCTCAGAGAATCAACTAAGATAACCAACAGGAATCAGGCAGGACACTGGACAAATCCTCCACATGGAGGTCCAACGATCTTTACACAGGAAAAAATGTGGTCAGACTGATGACACAGATAAAACCCCCTTTATTGACACACTGAGAAGCAAAGATAACTGGAATATGCAGGAAATCCCTGGAGAACAAGGTCTTATGGACAGTGGGAAGAGCATGTTTTTAGCCTGGACATGAAGGTCTCCTCAGCCTCAGGGATACTCCACGGCACACATAGCCTTATGGTCCTGTACAGTTCCACCTTGTGGGCCTACAAGCCACAGAAATACCAACAATCACAAATACACTGGGTTGGGACAGCTAAGAGGGAGGATTCTTCCTTGACCCGGATGAGAACAAAACTTTCAGCCTGTGGAGTTGAAAGCCAGATGCTCCCAGATATGGTTTAGTTCATGTCCTCAATGAGAGGTGCTCAGCCCCAGATACTGGAGTTTGGCTCTGTGCTTCTGGGACCTGGGCTTCTGCCTTTACTCAGAACTGCCTGAGTTGGCATAGGTGGAAGTCCCTAGAACTCTTCTGTGTGCTCCCTGACCTCCCACATTCAGCAGGGGGGGGAGGGGGGAGAGGAAAGGGTGTGGTGCAGCTCTAATTGCCCACTGCCTGCAACCAAAGACCCTGCTGGCATGGCTTGGTGGATGCTCTGCCCCACCCCACCAGTCTCCTGTGCCACTCAAGTGCTCCTCACCAGAACCCTGGAGTTTGGTCTGCTTAAACTGGACCTGTTTGAGGCTTCTGATGTGTGCCTAGCCCAGTCATCACTCAGTGGGACAGAGGGAAAGCGTTCTTGAGCCACTGCATGGGAGGGTGGTGAGCTCGAGTGAGGCTGGAAGAACAGACCTTAACATTGACTCAATGCCTTGTGCACCTACCACAAGTATTACCTTGCCAGGGCCCAGTCAGGCGGGGGCAACTGGGTCCACATGGAGTCCTGCAGACAAATGGTCAGTTGAATACCTGCTGTTACACCAAATGACTGAGAAGAGGAAGTTGCTCCCTCAGGCTAGGGGATAGTTCCCCACTCCCTGCCAAGGGAAAATCCAGCCCTGTAGACCCCAGGGGGGATGCTGGATCCCAAACAGGCATCCTCACTCAGTGGGCTGTCACACACTCTGATGTCCTCTAATAATAGTTCAAAGACCAAGGAAATGTTCAAGGCTTGAGTGTATTAAATGCCTTCTTAAAAAAGATTTTATGAGATTAGTCAGAACTCAAAACAACCTCAATTTTAACTCACAAGGCAGAAATTTAAAAAAGAGGACCATAAAGCTGTTTGCTGAGTCATATGGATTCAATATTGGATGACTTTCTGGTCCAGAATCTTCATGCCAAATCCTTTTTGCACATGTGGGACCATCTTCCAAATATGCATCAAGGACGCTTGTTTGTTTTCTCTCCCTCTTTTTAATTCTACAAGAGTTTCATGGAAAATGAGATCACTTTTCCAATTGGAAAAAGAATTTGGCCCCAAGCTTACGGCTGCACTTCTTTAAGAAAAAGTTCACATCCGCTCAATTAGGGCAAGTCACGAATCATGCACCTGCGTCCGAGTGGAGGCAGGGGCACTGCCCCCAGGCACAGCCACAGAGCAGGCACGAGGAAGCGTGTCCCGTCAGAAAGCCCTTTAAATAGTTTCCTCTCCTCCAGGTCCATGGCAGAAAGAAAACCCACAAGTGCTTCAAAGATCCTGCCGTCAAGGTCATGGCAGAGGAAGAAGAGGGAGAAGGGAACAATTGTGAACACGAACCCTTCATGGCTTCCCCTCAGAGTAAAGGGAAGTCAGAGGATGCCCTCCCCTGAGAACTGTTGCTATGGTCATGGAGCAACAACTCTAAGGCTAAGTGCAGCTAGTCACGCGAGGGGCATGGGGCGGTGTCAAGGCAGCTGGCCTGGCCCTGCTGGAACCAGATCACACGCGTGGGCCTCCCCAGGGGAGCTGTGTGTGTGCGTGCGAAGCAGAGCCTGCCCTGGGAGCAGAACTCATGGCTGTTTACACACCCTCAAAGCTCAGCCTTGAATTCCTGCCACAGAGTAGCAATGGCACTTGGGAGCAGTTCCTGAAACATGAGGTCAGCTGGGCATATGGGCCACAGGGATGGTCTCTGGTCCATGCTGCCCCATGAGCACATACACCTGCCCCTGGGGCTCCTGGACACTCACAGGCCCCTGATGCCTGGGGCTCCTGGTCATTCATGGGCCTCTTTTGCAGACAACCAACTTCACTGAAGGAAGACCCTGAGGAGTGGATGCTGAGAGCCGGGCCTCTTGATTGAAGCTCTCCCAGCCCCATGGCTTTGAGTCCAGCCCAGGGGCACATCCCTGGAGAATACTGCTGCCACAGAGACTCTTCAGCCAAGAGCTGCCACATGGAGAGAACTTGCAAGTTAATCAGCCTCTTTGGGCTTCAGTTTCCTCTGTGTCATGGGACACTGATGTGCCAGCACACAGGCAGCATAGGGCAACATTATCATTAGTGTATCCAAAAGACCTGGATCTGGATCATCTGATCCATGAGATATAGTGATGGGTCATCTGATCCATGAGATCAAGTGTATAGATCATCTGGTCCATGAGACCTGGATCTGGATTGTCTACATAGTGCTGGGTCATCTGGTCCATCGGATTTAGTATGTGGATCATCAGGTCCATATATGATCCATGAGATCTGGTGCTAGATAAATTGTTTTACACCAAGTTCTAGAATTACTCTCCAGAGAAATAACAGTGACACATTCATTAAAACCAAGACTTGCTTCTGAGAGCAAACACTTCAGTGTTACCTCTGATTCACAAAGCACCGTTGTGCTTTCACTTAAGTTGCCCTTGACAAATTGGAAAGGGAAGGACACGGGATGCCTGTCTGGAAGAAGAAGGCCCACTCTGCTGCGGACCCTGGTGGTTGGGGGCTACACACTCCAAAGATTCACAAATCTGATTGACTCTCTGGTATGTGTGTTACCCTACAGAAATGGGTCATTCCAGACCAGTTGGGTCCAGATCTGCCACTGGACAAGCTTCCAGACCTTCCCTCAGTGCATGGGCATCTTCATATGTGCCTGCATGTCCCCCATCCCTCTGCTGCGGAGCTGAAGGAAAGGGCTGTTCCAGACATTGGCTAACTTGGGGGAAGTCCCCATTGGCAGTAGTATTCACAGGGAAAAGCCAGAGAAGTCTGGTATCTGCTCCCTAGAGGAAATGTGTGGGAGCGGCGGTTGTGCTGAGGGGCATTATCAGCACCCACAGTTCCTGATGGAACAGGCTGGGTCATCCCACAGGTGTCCAGCACACCTGGAGAGGGGCAAGATCACATGAACTTAGGACAAAGCCTCCTGAAACCTGCTCCTTGCCTGGCAATTGCCTTGTAAGTGATAATAAGGCACATTCTCTGGCTCTGGAATAATGGGATGAGCACACACAGCACAGGGCTCTGAGAATAGCCAGTATGTCCCTTCCCCATACTGGGCTCACCTAGTCCATGCTGAGGTCACCTGATGACCCTCTTAGTGATCAAGAGCTCAGCATGGAAGGGTCTGAGCCCCAGAGTGTCCCAGTTAGGGAAGTCCTGATTTATCTTCATGGAGAACCCAGCATGTCCATCTCGGTGAGTCTGGACTGACAGTGCTGATGGCGGCTGATGGTAGACAGGTGGTATTTGGATGTTTGGGGCTAATAGTGGAACGTCAGGGATCTGTGGTGGACACTTGGGGCTAATGACAGACATTGGAGGTTAAAGATAACTGGTCAGGTCTGACATCACACAGTGCACTCAAATAGGTCTAGGCCTTTCCATGAGGACCAGACCAATACAACCTCCATTCACACTCTGCTGATCATTCACTAACATTTTGCTGAATTTACACTCCCTCTGCTGATCCTCCACTCACACTCTGATAAGACTCCACTCACACACTCTGCTGGTACTCCACTCACATGCTACAGAGCCCTGAAAGAAAAACGGCACCAAAGATGCTCAGGACAACAGACCTAGTTGTTACCACAGAGCTCCATGGTAATTTCTATGAACACAATATATGTTGTAGGAAACTATGGGCCAGGAGAAGCCAGAGTTGGAGCCACTCATTGGAGGTCACAGAAATGGGGGTGCAGGTGTGGGCATATCAAGGTGCCCTCTGGTAAATTAGCCTGGTTACCCCAGAACACTCAAGACACACGAGTCAAAAATCAGGACGTGATGGCTCTTCTTATGTCCGT